GTGACTGATTTACATTAGTGATCAATAAAGATTTTATTTTAATTTCTGAGTCCCTTAAAATGTTACCATAACAAACCAAAATCTAATTAAACACCATGATAACCCTAATTCCAACTACTTTCAATCTAAAAATCAGGAGTATAACCTAAACATCAGCTGAATCTCCCTGATTTTATGTTCTTCATGGCAGTAGGCATGACCACTATAACTTAGGTGTAAAACTTCTTTGAGTTTCAGAAGAATTCAAACACACCAAGCATCTCAAGCATTTAATAACCAAACTTGCTGGGCAATGGTAAAATAGCATCTAGCTCCTGCCATCTTGCTGACTCTCTTTTTTCCTCTACTTCTTCTCCCTTTGCCTTTATAACATATTTCTCTTCTTTTTGCATTAGAATTTTTAAAATTCTCTGTAAAGCCTTTTTTCTAGCCAACATGCATGGCCCATAGGAAATCACCTAACTTAAGTAGGCTGTTCTAGATATTTTCTCAGCTAAGGAGATTTTCTTGAGATTCTCAATCTAGCTGGTAAGAGAGGAATATTTTCTTCTTGTTATACCTTCTGCTGAGAAACATATTTTCAGCATTTTGCCAGTTTATCATATAAATTCTCTCTCCAAGCATGGGTAAGAGGAAGGTAAACATGCTATTTATCTGTGGTATTGGTACTCAAAGTCTATCTATCCATACCCCTCTCTCCCAGGCAACGATTCTCAAACCTCAGTGTGCATCAGAACCACCTGGTGGGCCTGTTTAAAACAGACTGCTGGATCCCACCCTGAGTTTCTGATTCAGCAGGTTTGGGGGTAGGTAGGACTTTGCATTTCTAAGTGGTTCCCAGGTGATGATGTTGCTGATAGCTGCCATCAAATTAACAACTGAAATATTTTTAAAAATATGTTTAGGCCACACCCCAAATTAAATTCAATTCCCCGGGGATAGATTCTAGGCCTCGAATTTATAAAAATTCCTCAGGTGATTTCAACGTGCAGCCAAGTTTTAAGAATCTGTGCCCTGTAGGATTGAGTAAAACTCCTCCTATGGCCCGTTAAAGTAGTTCTGAGGAATATGCCTTTTATGGGATTTGAGACCATTTATTTTATATGTAATAATTTTTCCTCTCATGGGAAGCAAATAAGATCAAGAGATGGTGATTACTGGGAATTATGCTTAAATAAGAATCTGTGGGTCCCTTCCTAGAAGGTAAGTTGCACACTTACTTTGGGACTATTAATACTTGCATATTGCCAAAAGCCTTCCTTTGTTTAGAAGTCATGTTTACTTACATTTTAGGAAGGAAAGAAGAAAGGGAGAGTAGGAAGGTGGGAAGTAGGGAAGGAGGAAGGACAAAAGATCTGGTTCAAATGTGGCAAATGCACTGTGAACTTACATCACCTCTGCTTCACGAGTTCTGCCCAAGAGAAGTAATAAATGGGGTCCCATTCAAAAATGCGCAAAGCCACATAAGCTACAAAGCTGAAGCCTGGAGCAGTGTGGATAATATCCAGGTCTTGCTTGGCCTTGTATTTGGAGTGGAATAAAAGTAGAGTGAAAGATTTTTTTGGTATCTTATGATCTCGATCTCATTGCAAACAAAAGAATTAAATTAAGTACCAGCCCAAGGAAGGAAGGCATCCCTAATTTTGGTAGGCCCTAGGTTAGGCTCCTTTTGGAAAACTGTTTCTATTTCAGCCAGTTGCTAAGATATGGTGAGAGTTGTTCTCTAGGCTAGCTCAATCAGGCTGCCATCTTACTTCTGTCTGGAAATGTATGGCTTTTGATTATTTGAATTTTGTCAGCATTAGAGTTTAAGGATGGCCAGGACAGAAGGCTGAATCTCTAGCCCATTTTCCTTCACATTTTTTTCTATGCACAGAACCTACTTCACAGGTAGCAAATTAGTAGGTCTAGTTTACAACTAGGATTTCAGGTTTGTTTGGAGGGAATTTTTTTTTTCAAGATCTTATTTATTCATTTGACAGAGAGATAGACAGAAGAGCACAAGCAGAGGGAATGGCAGAGGGAGAGGGAGAAGGAGGCTCTGCACTGAGCAGGGAGCCCCGATGCGGGACTCGATCTGAGAACCCTGGGATCATGACCCGAGCCGAAGGCCGCTTAACCATCTGAGCCACCCAGGCGCCCTGGGGGATTTTTTGACCAGAGGACAAGCTCTTCTTTTTTCCACTTCAGGAGATCTTGAGTCATATTTAAATCAACTGCAGCTGCTTAAGTTTGAACTGGTGCCTTGTCCTAACTTGTTCAATTTTGTTTCCTGAGAGCACCCCGTGTTCTCTCTTCTCCTCTTCCTGTATTATCTTCATTTAGATTGAGGATACTGGAGACCCTTCTGGCATTTCATGAAATTAGAAGTTGGTCAAGAATGCTTACCATAGTGAAGTCCCCATAGTTGTTATATAACTTGTTCCAATAAAACTTTATTCTCCAAACTGTTCAAAAGCCCTTGTTTTTCACTCATTGCAAAAATCTTCTAGTCTTGGGACACCTGGGTGGCTCAGTCAGTTAAGCTTCTGCCTTCAGCTCACATCCTGATCCCAGGGTCCTGGGATTGAGTCCACATTGGGCTCCTTGCTCAGCAGGGAGCCTGCTTCTCCCTCTGCCTGCCACTCCCCCTGCTTGTGCGTGCTCTCTCTCTAGCAAATAAAATCTTAAAAAAAAATCTTCTAGTCTTAATACATACCCCGAGGAGTTTCCTACTTGGTGCACAAATGTCTATGGCTCTCTGTGATACCCAACCCCTTTTCAAATGTTAGATGCTCAGCCTCAGACAGATCATAGACAGTTTTAACGTTACACATGACTTCTGCTGCTGGGATCTGTTAACTCTCTATTCATTTCTTTTCTTCACTGACTCTGCCCTAATACTCTCGACAGTATAAGGGCCTGTTATAACCAGAACTCAAGATTCTCCTAATTTCGGGTCCTCACTATCTAGGAATGATTCTGGTTTTCAGTCATCGTCAGGCTAGACCAGAGACCCAAATGCTTACATAATAGTAATCTCACAGGAGGAGCCAGGTTTCTAAGAAGTCTGCCCTGGTAGATGAAGCATGGATGAAGCTTTGGATCAGTTCCCAGAAGATGGACTATGAACTTTCTTGCCCCTTCCAGTACAAATTAAAAAAAAAAAAAGTTACAATTGTGAGTCTCTAGATGTTAGTTTAAATACCAACTTTCAAAGCCCATACTCTCTTGCTGTTCCTTAAGGACTTTAGTAAGCTCAAAAACAGGGAACAGCTCTGGTGTGACTTCTTCAAAGGCAGTTTAATTGATCTCACAAGTAGTTCCATACTAACCCTAATGGCCTGGCCTGTGAGGGTTAATTTCTACTTCCCCAGACCATGTAACCAACAATTTGAGATTCTTGATGTACGTGACCTCCTGCTCATTTCTGGAGTGGAGAATTAGTGGGCATTTAGTCATGAACCTTAGCTTTAAGGAAGCTAAGGACACTCATGTGAAAAATCAGTGAACCTTGAATTTGGGTTCTCCTAGGCCATGTATTCTCATTTGATATCTTTGCACAGCATCCTATTAATCCAGGCATGAAAATCAGCACCTCTATGATATCCCCTATAAAGTTACCCTATTAAAATTTCATGTTTGATAATTCTGACAAGCTTTGGGGATGGGGCATATCAAGCACTGCACATCATTCCCCTAATATTTCATTGGTTCTCTGTCCCACCTTGACCTCTCTTCTCATGTTTCATACTTTTATCCCTTTTGTAGGCTTGAGGCCAAGAGACATCTGTGCTCCTCAGAGACTCACTTTATTGCTTATCTTAAGTGGACTTACCAAGATGTTTTCCTAACAAAGACAGATTGCTTGGAAATTTTCTTTTTTTTTTTTAAAGAGAAGTCTCCTTAAATTCCATTTATTCGCCCCATACAATATGCCAGATGTTATATTAAACACTTTATGTACATTATTCCACTTAATCCTAACAATCCCTTGAGGGAGGCAGTATTACTCCATTTTAGATAAAACTGCCGTTAACGGAGGCTAAGAAATTTGCTTAAGAGCGCATAGATTGTAAATAGGGGAATTGAGATTTGAACCTAAGATTGACATCACAGCTTATGTTCTTAATCATGGCTATGGAGTATGGAGTATGTTCCCAGCACATGGTGCTTGGAATATGTGGTACTCTTGTACTTTGTGCAATATTATGGTGGGATGCAAAATAAATTGCTCTCAATAAGGCAAAAGCAATAATGTATATACATAGACTATGCAAATTTTTAGAATTTATGATATGCTACTTATTTTATGTGCTGTGAAATCTGTGCCAGCGTGAACAGTTAGAAGCAATTTCCATCATTATTTTAATATAGCGTTAGCTGTGGACCGGGCCTGTAAGTCTAAAATCACAACCTCCCAATAACTGAGTAAATTATTGAGGACGACATTGTGTTTTCTATGAGGTATAGAATGAACCGTAAGAGATGATCTAGGTCAAGAGCTTATTCTACATCAAAAACTAATGATGTAATGTATGGTGATTAACATAACAATAAAAATTTAAAAAATCTTATTCTAATTGGCTCAGAAGGTGTGTATCCTTGAAAAGGTATTGCAAAAATACAAAAAGTATAATAAATATTAGATGAGTGGGCCAGATCCTCCAAGCTTGGAGTGGCTAGAGAAGTCTGCACGGAAAAGGTAAAATTCCAGTCCAGTTTTGGAAGAACTAGGATTTGAAGCGTTCTTAGAGAAAGTTGGAAGTACGTTCCTGGTGGGAGGATCGATGGGAACTTGTTTTATCGCAACCTGCTGCAGAACACAACACAGCCCCCTCACACCAGCTACTCGTACTTCCGCATTTCAACCAGAAAGTGCCTCGCTGCGGGCGTTGCCCCTCCAGCAGCGTCCGGGCTCCACGTATCCGTGTGAGGAACCCGGAACAGCACCCGCCTTGCCCAGCTTCCGCTTCCGGCCGTTCAGGCTCCGCCTCAGCGGAAAAGGCTGTGTGCGGGACGGGGGAGAAGAGGTGGAGAACTGCGCGCGTCGCGCAGGCGCACCGTAGGCGGCTGCAATGGCGCTGTCGTGTTCTCTGAATAGGTATCTGCTGCTCATGGCGCAAGAGCATCTGGAGTTCCGCCTACCGGTGAGCCCGCACTGCCCTCCACAACTTTTTGACGGGAGAGGACGGCACGGTGGGGGCTGGTGTGCGGGCGGCGGAGATCTTCTCAGCTTCAGCTGAGGGTGTGTGTGCTTGTCAGGGATATCACGCGTCCCCAGTCCCTCGGTCCCTGGGAAGGATCCGAGCTCGGCCGAGGGTGTGTGAGAGAAAAGTCCGAGAAAGACTCTCACAGACTTGCCAAGCATTTTCATTCCTTCTTCTGCCCATGCATCAGGTATTGGAGTTAGGCAGGTGAATATGACCCGTCCTCTCTCTCCAGGAACTCTTGTCTAGCGGAGAATAGAGACAGCCAACAGAAATGCTCACTGCCGTGTTTTAAGTGGCAAATATGCAGGTCAAACTCCATGGAGGAGGGTGGGATTGCTGGTGGTGGTGGTAGGTGGCAAGGGTTAGATGATGGAGAAGTTGGGAAAAGTGTTTCATTCATTCCAGAAACATTTTCAGAGTACTTGTAATTGCATGTGCTGGACGCTGGGGGTATGGAGATGGCAAAGACTGTTTCTGTCTTCAAGGAGCTTACTGTTTAGGCTAAGGTCCGAGCAGATGTATAAACATTAAGAAATAACATTTGTAAGTGCAATGGTAGATGCGTAGGGAAAAAGGAGAGCATAGAAGGGGAATCTAATCCACCTGAGGGGGTGAGGGATGTTGGCCTTTAAGATCGCTTGCATGAGGATATGACACTTGAACAGTAGCTAAAGTATGAGTAGGAGTTAGCCAGGCCAAGGATATAAATAAATTAGAATTATAATTCAGTATTACTGGATTATGAAATATGTAGCTGAGTGACAAGAAGAGAGCAGGAGAGGTAGATAGGGGCCAGAAAATGCAAAGCCTTGAATCCTCTGGAAGGGAAGAGAACATTTACTTAGCTTGTAAGGGAAATTTGCTGAAAGAGTTTTAAGCAAAGAAGATTTTTCCTTAAAAATCACTTTGGCAGTGATAATGAGGATAGATTTGAGAGGAATAAGTCTGGAATCAGAGGCCAGTTAGGAGCCTGTTGGAATAGTCCTGTTAGTAGATTAAGAAGGCCTGAATTAGGGCAGGGGTAAAAGAATGGGATAGACTGGGAAAATATTTAGGCGATGAAATCATCAGGACTTGATGACTGAATATGGGGGGAACAGGGGCCAGTCAAAGATGGCTCCTGGGGTGCATATAAGAGCATCTGCATTTAAAATGTAGAGCACAGGCAGATGAAAGATTTAAATTTTGGTTATTACGAATTTGATATGTTTGTAATATCAAGTGGAGATGACTGGGGTTGGGGGGGCAGTGAATATCGGAGTATGCATGGGGTAGGATAGAGTGGTCTGGACTGGTAATAAATGTTTTGGAAGCTTCTGCATTTGAACACTAGGAGAGAAAGTGAAATTATTCAGAGAAAGCATAGTGTCGAAAGAGTGGTGGGCCAAATACAGGAGCTTGGAAGCATTGACACTGGGGGGAAGTGAGAAAAGAGGAGGTAATGAGGATTGGCAAGTGTCAGAATAGAAAGACTTTGGGGGCACAGAAATCAGGAGGGTAAAGTTTTAGGAATTTTGCTATAACTGTTTAGAGTTTTGGAGTGGGGTGGGAAGCTAGATTGCTTGATTTAGTGGTCACTGGAAAATGAGGAAGGGGAGATAGACTGCTCTTAACTAGAGCATAAGAAGGGAAAGTAAGAGATTGGTTAACAGTTTGAGGGAGGCCTAGGGTCAGGCAAAGTTTACAGGCTGAAGAGAAGGGGAAAATGGATATAAGGTCACGGTGGGAGGTGTTGGCCTTTCACTAGAAGGGGAGAGTGGGCAAAGGAGAGTTCGGCTGGGTATGGGGTAGCTGCCCGAGGGTCCGTTTTCTAGGTTATGAATGAGTCAAGGTTGTTTTTTGAGAGATCAGGGACCAAGCAGTTGAGTGGAGAAATTGGGAAAAACAGTTAAATTTGAAATAGTCATTGAGAGCAAAAGAGGGAGCTGACAAGTTAAAAATTGAGAACACAGGTTTTAGAGCAATGCTGGAAATCCAGCTGAGGGTGATGATCATGTATTTGTAATTGTGCTGAGATTTTCCGATTTTCTTTAGTTGTGTGCAATTCACTGGCCTTAGGAGTTATGAAGGAAGACTGTGGCGTTGATTCAGGGTTAATGTTTTGCTGAGCAGGTGCATTGTCAAGATAGGGGTGTAAGGGCATAGAGTGTCAAGGAGGAAGTAATATTTTAATAGATCTTACTTGATAAAGAGCTGTTTTGTGTGTAAAGAGGACTGGAAAGCCCACTTCAGTGAGAAACAAAAGCAAGTGTAAAGGCATGGAGGGAGTTGATTATGGTGGTTTGGGGTGTGGGATGTGTGGGGAGTGAGGATGAAGTAATGGGCAGTGGGGCTAGAGAGGTGGGTAGGATCCAGAGTTTGAAATGTTTTGAAACCATTGCAAGGAATTTGGATTTTATTTTAGATTTAATGGGGAGCTATTGACTCTTTTTAAGTCAGGAAGTGACCATTTTTTTTAAACCAGTGGGTGACTAGTAATCATTTGTGTTTTAGAGGGAGAATTCTGGAGTACCAGAGAAAGGATACTGGAGTGGAAATAGAGGCCAAGGAGGGTGTGGGCCTCTAGTCCGGCAGTGCGGTGAGAATGGAGTGGCTAGACTGCAGTCTTCAGAATAACATCCCTAATACTTGGACATTTTACTTCTTTCTTCTTCTTAAATTATTCTTAGTGTCTTACCCTGGTGCCAGTTTAATCTTCCAAAAAGCTCAGTTCTCTTTTACACCCTCATTGTCCCGAGGCTGAAACTTCTTAGTCTGGCGTTAGCCCACCATTGCATGGTTCTTTTCTCTGTCTCCTCCCACCTCCCACCTCAGTGCAGTCAAGAGAATCCCCGTCATTCCCTGAATGACGCCCTCAGTTTTCATGCTTTGGCCTGTGCTGCCTTCTGTCTAGTTGGGTTTTCCCTATTCCAGTCTTCATTCTATTGATTTTACATAGTATTCATTGAGATTTACCTGCACATTTATTTTAGGTTAATTTTTTACTTGATTCTTTTTCAACTCTGCAATTTCCTTTTTAATGGGTTTTTAGTCTTTGCCAAAATTCTTAATTATGTCTTTTATTCCCTTCAATATAGAAAGCATAAGTATGACAAACTGTAGAAAGCACACATATTAAATATGATAAAAGAAGTCCTGTGGGCCTGTTGCTTTTGTGTATTGTTTCTCTTGGTTCTTTTTCCTATGTGTGCTGGCTTATTTTTTAAACCACACTAGATATATTTGGAAAGTTATTCGAAGAAATAACATGAGGCCTCGGGTGATGTAAATCCTCTTGAAGTAGGAACATTAATGATCTAGGATGACTTGAACTCATTTCCAGGTATTAAGTTTTGTTTCTGTTCTGATTCATACATGTTCCTCTGGTATGTAGCTTTTGGGGAATCCCAGTCCAAACTGGGTGGTTTATCAGGCCATCTTTCTTTTCCATGGATGGCCCAATATTCTTTTTGTTCCTCTAGCTCCATTAAGCTGTCAAAAGGACCATCCACCCTCACAGATGCTTTTGGAATCGGTAAATACCCTGGGAAGCAGGTGGCTGCACCTTGCAATTTCTGGCTTCTCCTGAAGTTTGGTTTGGTAATTCTTGTAATTGCTCCAAGCGTTCAAGCAGATGCCAGGTTTTTCTAGTTCTCAGCAGAAGGCTCAATCTGCATTACATAGTTTGCCATCACTAGAAGTGGAAGTCCTCTTTCATCTATGCAGATTCTCTCTGTATTCCAGGTCTTAAGTCAGTTTCCATGAAAACTTTTCTTCTGAAACTAAGGTAATCTTTTCTCCCTTGAACTTTAATATAATACCTTTTTGCTTTTACTTCTTTAAGAGCACTCACTGTTTTACAGCTCACATCTCAGTTACTAGGTTGAATGTTTTGTTCTATTAGACCATAAGCTCCCGGAAGATAAATATGTATTTATCTTTACATAGCTCACTGCCTTGTATATATTAGTTTCTTAGTTAAGTATTGAGTGAGAGGATCCCTTTGGGGAAGGCAATCAAGAGGACAGTCTACACTTTTGAGTCCATCTACTGTTTTAGAACTGCTAAGCAGGAAAACTGTAATGAGTAGCTGCCTTTATGATTTAAAATGAGAGATTAGAAATATAATGTGGTCCTGTTTTATCTTTGTAGAGTTAATCAGGGCCAGTTTTAGTTGGCGCCTGCCTTATTGTACTAGAGTTCAGACACCTGGGTTTTATTGCTAGCTCTGAAACAAACTAAATGGATGAAAAATTGAGTGGCTAAAAGAACTGAAAAGCTCACGTGAATTAACGCATGAGGCGTGCCCCAGATCACGTGACCTTTTCAGTTACCATCAGTATTTACTGATAGACTGTGCAAGTTTTTGGTCTGTCCATATAATTCAACTGAATTTAGCCCCTTGTAAATCCAAGGTTTTAAAAAAAAAAGATTTGTTGTTGTTCTCCTAGTTGGGATGAAAGGGGATTGTAGGCACCCAGCAGAGGGTACCTATCTCTGATTGGTTTACCTCCTCCATAAGACCTACAGAGAGGAGTGGGATTCTACCTGCTTTATGTTATTTGAGGAGACAGAATTTGTTAACAGTATATATTATAAAATTTGTATCGTCATCTTGTATTTATCTATACAAAGTGATTGCTTCATAGAATATAATGTTATCTGAACAGATTTCAACTTTGCATTCCTGATGTTTTTAAAGTAGCTATTGTGTTCTCTTTCTAGTTCTGTAACTTCATCCAGAAAGAGGCTAACTTAGTATAACTTCTGTTTAATAAATCCACAGTGATGCTTCCTGGTTAATCCTTATTTCTTGTCTAAACATCCTCAACTTATCTGTTTAATAATTCATTTTATTTTTATTGATCAGTTGTCAGATTTACTAATCTATAGTTTTTGTCATCCATTTTTCTCCAAAATCAGGGCATTTTCTGAGCAAGTCTTTTGGCAACCTTCTTGTGTAAAATTTCTCAGAAATTACTTAACTGTGGTTGTGACTAAAATTTTTTCAGAACCTAGAGTTGTAATTTGTCTGGTGTTGAAATTTAAATGCCTCAGGTAGGTTACTTGCCCACTCTTAAAAAAATCTTATTATACCTGTATCTGTTAGTAGACTTTGAGTTCCATGTGTTAAAATGTGTTCTTTCTATTATATTTTCAATGTAGGAAATAAAGTCTTTGCTTTCACTTTTTGGAGGTCAGTTCATCAGTAGTCAGGAAACTTATGGAAAGGTAAGTTGAATTTATATTTTTCATTAGACTATGTGTAGTATATTTATAAGTAGAATCTTCGGGAAGAGAAAAACTGCAAATCTCAAATATATATTTGTGTGGTTACTTGTTTCTGTTTCTAGGGGCAATTGAATAAAAAGGTTATTTTTGGAAAAAAGTTGTGGTTTTGGAACATCATTTAAGTTTATTTCCAGTATTCATTTAGTGTATAGTTTTAATTTTTAACTCAATACTTGTACCACAATTGGTATCTGTCCCTTAATTGAAAAAAAGGGCTGTTTTCTGTTGATGAGGTATGATTAGAATTAAAATTTAGAATTTAGTGGAATTGCAGACATATTGGGAATTATTTAAACATTTGAAATTGCAGATGTGTAAGATTGTGAATTTATGAGCTTTGTATTTTGTATTTGATAGTTTATCAGTGTATTAGAGAAGTTCGGGAAATAGAAAAAGTCATTCATAATTCTTCCTTCATGTGACTTATAATTTGAGGGTACTGCCATCCAATCTTTTTTCATATGCTTTTTTTTCCCTTTAGTTCTAATACTACTTATGAACTTCTTCAGTCTCTTTTTCACTTGATAATATTAATATAGGCAACATGTTGCTACATAGCCTTCATCACTACAGGGTTGTATAATATTTTCTGTTGATTAGTTCTATCATTATTTATCTAATGATTTCACTCCCTTCAGATTGCTTTTAAATTTTTCTAAAAAAAAATAATACTGAGATAACCATTTTTTTCTGTTTGGATTATTTTGAAATTTTCTATAGAGTAGTGTAAATAATGGAAGAAGAAAGACTCACAGGGAGGATTTCTTCCAGAAGATGAGAGAACTTAGTTGAAACAAGTCTGCTAAGGTTGGACTTGGACTCCTAATTGACTTTCATGTACTGAGGGAGGAGAAAAAGAGGGAGAGTATAGATATAATTGGGTGAGAATGATGAACTGAGGTCAGGGTTCTGTTTTGTTTTTCTGTATTCCGGCAAGGAGTTATCTGGGTGGAGACGAAAAGTGCCTGTAATCAGGGTGCCTGGGTGGCTTAGTCAGTTAAGTGACCAACTCTTGATTTCTGCTCAGGTCATGATCTCAGGGTCGGCAGATTGAGCCCCAAGTCTGGTTCTGCACTCACTGTGGAGCTTGCTTAAGTCTCTCTCTCTCTCTACCCCCACCCTCCCACACCCATGCATACCTCTGCATGCTCTCTCTCTCAAAATAAGATAAGATAAAATAAATTTGTAAAAAAGTGCCTGCAATCTTGATGGTTGAGACAGAGGATTGGTAAACACCTCTGATGCACCTGAAACTTTTTCCTTAGATAAAATAATAAAAACTAATGATAATATAATATACCCTATTATTTTCCATCATAGTTATTTCAAAGAGTTCCTTTTCTAACCCTTAGGTGGCCACAACTACCTAAAAAAAGAGGGATCATTCAAAGAAATACGTTACTTAGAAGTTAAAATAGCTGTATTGTCAGGAGTGATCAATAAAAAATTCTGAAATTATACTTTGGGGTAAAATATGCATTAATTATTTTGGTCAAAATACATAAGACAGTAAATACAAAATTAATCTTTTTTTTTTAAGATTTTATTTATTTATTTGACAGAGAGTTACAGTGAGAGAGGGAACACAAGCAGGGGGAGTGGGAGAGGGAGAAGCAGGCTTCCCATGGAGCAGGGAGCCCGATGTGGGGCTCAATCCCAGGACCCTGGGATCATGACCTGAGCCAAAGGCAGACGCTTAACGACTGAGCCACCCAGGCGCCCTACAAAATTAATCTTAAGATTAACCTTATATTTGCTGATATTTGCATTTATGGTCATTTATAAACATGTTCTGATGTTGTACTCTATTATCCTAACAGGTTACCTATTAAAATAATTTGTTTTTTTTTTACTATTGGAGCAGTTTTTATTTTGGTTAGAGTCAGATCAGGTATTCTTACATAAAAGTAACAAATAGGAATCTCTTCTTACTGACTTCTTGAATAGAAGCAAATGAGGCTGTATAAACCAGTTACAAGTTGTGTATTGTTATTTTTTTCAGTCTCCTTTTTGGATTCTTAGCATTCCCTCTGAAGATATTGCCAGAAACTTAATGAAACGAACAGTGTGTGCCAAGTAAGAGAAACTTACAATGTTTTCCTGTAGATTATATACTGTACTTCTCATACTACTCTGTCCTTGCTATATTGGCGGAGAATTAGAAGGGCTTAGTTGTTGAGGGGAGCTCACTTTAGCTTGCAGATACATGAATTTGCCACTGGGTGGTGGTGGTAGAACAGGGAGTTCGCTGCTGAAACAGGGTGAGGGAATCTTAGTGGTGAAATGCATAAACACTTCTTGTGGGGTAATTTTTTTAAACTTCTATATTAAGCAGGATTATGGTATAAGATGTAAATGCTGTTTTTACATAGGATAAATGCCACATTTAATTATAACCAAAGTATTGAAAATCTAAAGATGTTTTTATAGATGGCTTTAGTTGGATGAGCAGATAAGTGTGAAATGACAAAAAGTGAGGACTGCCATGAAATATGTTTTGCTGTTTTGTTAGAGAACGAAGTCCTGATTATCATATCTTGTGTGGATTACTATAATGATGCTGTTCATACTTTATCCTACCTGTTTTCTAGATTTTATCATTGGTATCTTATCTTTTTTTCATTTCCTCCTTCTTTCCCTCCTTCCTTTCTAATCTTTTAAGTTGAAACTTGCTAATGGGTCTTACTATTCAGCAAAAATGACTATCAGACAGAAATATAACTAAAAAAAAATCTTTTGAATAATCATTACTTTTGATTAGTATATTAAAATTTATGGCTCTAAGTAAGAGTTGTTTGATTTCAGATAAGGCTTATTAGGTTTAAAATAGCTATTTGAGGACCAAGAACTTGTACACTTCCTTCAAAGCTAATATCTTTTCCTACATTTGCTTAATGGTATAATTAATAATTATGTAATGATTGTATAATATTATATAATTTCCTTGACTACTTTTTATTTTCTGTATATTTTGAATAGCTTAGGTTGGGTATACCTTCAGTGATAGCTAAGTAAGGGTGGTATTACTGTAGAGGTCCTCTGTCTATAAATTTCATAGAAAGCAAAGGAGGAATTCATTTTCAAATGAAGAAATTCCCAGTCCTAATTGTAGCATTAATTGTTCTGGAAATAAAATAGACTATTATAAGCATGGATTGAAAAGTAACTTAAATTTAAAATTTTTTTTGTGGTAGACTAGGGATTGAAAGTTAATTTTGTTTTGTTGATTTCTCTTTAAAATGGAATATCTTGAGCATACCACAAAAAGAGTGAAAAATATAATAAACCCCTAGGTATCTACCTTGTTAGATCTCAACATTTTGAGATACTTGCCACAGCTGTCTTTAAAAAAAAAAAAAGTGGTTTACAGAAACCGTTGACTCTGTGCACCTTTCCCAATTCCATTCTCCTCCTTCCCTCAAAGGATAGTTTCTTAAAGAATTTTTGTCAGAAAAATTTCATTATTACTTCCATAATCATTAAAATATTTGAGATTATTGTTGATTTTATATTAATAAGTGGGTATCCATGGCTTATTTATATAGCACCTATGAGAAATGTGACAGCCTATGTAAGCTTTATAATCTCTAAATTATGGATCATAATAGTTCAGTCATATATATGAGAACTTTACTCTGAAAATCTAAATCATAAAAGATATTATTATAAATTAATGTTCCAATTATAGCTGAAGTTTTTGATGTTGTATGCCTAATCTTTATTTTGACTATTTAAAATATAAATTTATTAATATATAAATTTCTGGAAAAGAGGATATGGAGTCATATTTTGTTGATTCTAGGTTATCATTACAAGCATTAGTTCCTATGTTATACTATATAATAGTTCGTTAGGGATGATTATGATCCATTAAACTGCCTTTCCCTGAATGGCCTGGGATTTCTTTTTTCTTTTTTCTTTTTTCTTTTTTTTTTTTTTTAATTTTTGAGAAGCAGTGTATTATAGTGCATGTAGTCATGTGTTTAGTTTGGAGTCTGATGGATTGGAATCCTAGCTTCATTAATTGCTATATGACCCGAAAGAGTCATTTTATCTCATTGTGCTTCAGTTTCCTCATTGGTTCAATGGGTGATGATACTGGAAGCTACCTCATAGGGCTGTTATGAAGAACAATTATGAATCCATATTAAATGGCTTAGAATAGTCCCTTGTACTTTGGTTATATAAAGTGTTAGCTTTTATTATTTTTGTTTTTTTAAGGTTTTCCTTTTCCAGAGGTTGAGTTATATATGCTTTTCCTCAGCTTAAGCTTCCAGGAATCTTCTCCCTTAGGTTTCATGAAGGCAGTGAGCTTTGTTCTGTTGTATCTTACTGCCTAAAATAATTTCTGGTATACAGTAATACTTAATAAATATTTGTTGAATAAATGAATTGATCAAACTTATTATAATTTCTAAACATTAAGAACAAATCATGAATACATGGAATTTGGGGACATCTATTTTGAATAATTGTGTTTGTTGCTTTTTACTCTTTGTACATTTGTATAGCTGAGGTCACCCCTTTAGTGATGGCGAAATAAGAGTAGGATTACTATAGAGGCCTTCTTTCAATAAATTCGGTAGAAAGGAAAGGAAGAGTTTGTTTTCAGAGGATAATATTCTCAATCCTGATGGAAGCATTAATGACATTTATAAAGTAGTTTGAATTTAGATGCACAAAACTATGCTACTATGTAGATTTGAGTTCCATTATAATGAATTCTTGTTTGTAATGAAATTTTCTTGTAATTGTTTAAATGTTCCTTGAAATTGGTGGAAGCTTGAGGATTTTTTTATAGTAAGAATTTTCTTTTTGTAGTGGTTAGAAAAGTAACAGTTACTAAATGTTAGTAAGTAATAGCTAAATATTAATTGTAACATTTTTAACTGGTCATTTTTGTTTTATGGAGAAGACACTGGAAAAATTGGATTTGTGGCAGCTTGTCACCCATTTTACTAAAATAAATGATGTTACTGCATCATTTGTATTCTAGTATAAAAATATAATAATGAAAACTTGGAAAAATCTTGACATGTTAAATTTCCTTCTGTGTAAAGTTAAACTTCTCTGTGATTTGGACTTATGTTTATTTTTAGGACACATTTCTCATTTATAGCAGAAAATATAGGCAATAATTGTATAAGTGGAATAAGAATAAAGAACTAGAAAGGAAAAAAAAGATAAAAGAACTAGGGAAGTAATTGTTACATATTACTGCATGAACTGATTTTGTTACTGAGGTTAGTACTAATCATTTATTTTCTAGGTCCATATTTGAACTATGGGGTCATGGAAAATCTCCAGAGGAGCTGTATAATTCTCTCAAAAACTACCCTGTGGAGAAGATGGTGCGTAGTGAAATGTGTTTTTTATAGGTATATCTACAGATACTGTAGAATTACGAAACTTAAAAGAATTTATTTGCTTTTATTTTAGGTTCCATTTCTGCATTCAGATTCTACATATAAAATAAAGATTCACACATTTAATAAAACATTGACACAAGAAGAAAAAGTCAAACGAATAGATGTAAGTGAATTTAGCAAAAATGAAAAAAATCAATGAGAATAATGTGGTCTGCTGCTATTGATATGTAATAATTCTCAATTCTGTTAAGTGTTTATTTTGTAGCACACTGTGTGCTAAGTAATTTTCATGTTTTGTCTTAATGCTGATACCAAACTTACAAGATAGATATTATTATATAAGCACTGTTTTTCCTTTAAAATTCTAATGGGACATGAGAACCACTTTTATTTTTTAGGCACTTGCGTTTCTGCCATTTGAAGGGAAAGTGAATTTAAAGAAGCCACAGCATATATTCTCTATTTTGGAGGATTATGGTTTGGACCCAAACTGCATCCCTGAGAATCCACATAATATTTATTTTGGTAGATGGGTAAGCAAGTGTTCTTTTTACCTGTTTCAGATTGTTTCTTTAAAAGTTTAATGTCAGGGAGCCTGGGTGGCTCTGTCATTAAGTGTCTGCCTTCGGCTCAGGTCATGATCTCAGGGTCCTGGGATCGAGTCCCACATCGGGCTCCCTGCTCAGCGGGAAGTCTGCTTCTCCCTCTCCCACTCTCTCTGCTTGTGTTCCTGCTCTTGCTATCTCTGTCAAATAAATAAATAAATACATCTTTAAAAAAAGTGTAATGTTAGACCTTTGTATAGGACTCTTTATATGTAGAATTCTTTGTATAGGACTCTTTATATGTAGAATTCTAAGACAACTGAAGACTCAGAATTACTGTATGAATTCAAATGAGTGGAAAAATACGTGGTTATGTGTTTTGTTTTGTTTGTTTTTCCAGAGATTCCTGGGAAGTGCAAGACGCTTGCTAGATAATAGGGCCTAGGTTAGGAGGTGGTGTACCAGGAAAAAATAACATAAGACTTGTCAGAAAGTCTGGATTGCTTTTTAAGTGGAGAAAAGGCAGAGTGCTGTGGTAGTTGAGGGATCTAATTTGTGGAGTTCTTGAATCTAAGCTCATATTCTGAAAAGAAATAAAATTATTGCAGAGCAGTCCTGCTCACTTCCCTAAGGGTAATGGAAGCTGGGGCTTATGTTACAGATTATTGTTTTTAAGAGAAAAAAGAGGTGGGTAGAGTTTACTCACCACCAACCTCTGGAATTATTGCATTCAAATTCAATTCAAATTTAATTTGAAAAGTCACTATAAATTACAACATGCTAAAAAAAATACAAGGAATTTGTCCATAATTACCTCAATCACATTTTTTTAAAAGAAACAAGTTTAGAGCAATGGTAAGTGGAAAGATGTTTTTATCAAGATATGGTGGTTTTATTGTGAATGGTTATCTTCAATCTGTTTTATGCAGTTAAACTAATTTGAAGAATCTCTGATCTAGATTGCAGATGGACAGAGAGAGCTTATTGAGTCTTACAGTGTCAAAAAGAGACACTTTATTGGAAATACAAGCATGGATGCTGGTTTATCATTTATCATGGCCAACCATGGAAAAGTGAAAGAAAATGATATAGTCTTTGATCCATTTGTTGGAACAGGTATTTTTATTTACTGTTAAACTAGTGCATAGGTGTTACTTGTTTATATTAGTCAAGGTCATAGTAATGTTTTTGCTAAAAGATTAGTAAATTTGTACAGAATAATCTTAATTATCATGAGATAGTGGCCAAGAGACAACCACATATTTGTGTAATAGCCCAGTATGCAACACTTGTGCCACTTCAAGAATGACATAATTTTTGGGCTTTTTCCCCAAGTAAACCACTAGGTGGAGGGGTATGCCATACATTGCAATACCGTGTACTGTGGAAATGTAAAGCTATACAGTTTATTTAAATAGGAAAACTTGGGTGGAAAAAAGACTTGAGTGACAAGATAAAAAAAAGTGTTCTTCATTTAACATTGATAACCATATACTTACATGGAAAAAAATGGGTAATATGTCTAATCTTTGATTTGGTTTGTAGAGGTTTATAAGTGTGAAGATAAGGAAAGTAACTTAATTATCAATGGGCTGGAGCCTGGCTGCTGAGGCTGCAGTCTGTTTGTATACACCTGATTAGATGTCCTTGTAATTAACTTCGTGTAGAAGTCCTAAAATTCCACCTTTACCTCCTCCGATTCCATGAAGACAATTTCCTGCTTTGCCCCATTTTTTGCTGGATCTTACTCATACCTAGGGAGCGCTCATATTTAGGTGTGTCTGGCTAAATTATTTGTGATTCACATTGTGTTGGAACAAATTATGTTTGTGGTTGGAGTTTCTCCCTGTAGCTGTCCTTTACCCATCAGAAACTTGGGAAGCAGCATTGCCACAATAACTAACATTGTTGAACTAAAAAGAAAAAAACTTCCTGAGGAGATTATGGCACAGAGAGAGGTTATGTGACTTGGCCAAGGTTATACAGTGTATAAATTTCATGAGATTCAAACTCAAGCAGTCTAACTCCAGAGCTCCTGCTCTTAACGACTATGCTAGAGCTGTGTCTTTCTGCCTTAGGATCTGTCGGCCAGCTGTTATACTATAAACTGACTTGAGGAATGTGACCACATGTGATTAGGAAGAAATAGTATCAACGTCAAAAGATTTCTAACCGTTGGAATGATTTTCTGTGTTGTTGAATTAATCCACTAGTGAGGCTCTCTTCTCCCACTCCACCAGTGTCTCCATATATCCCACACCCGATATTCGACCTGTTTGTTTCTTTCCCACCCTCCTTATCCTCAGTGCCTCCTGCAACTCTTTAAACTTTTATTGGAAATAATGCCAAACTTATAGTTAAGATACAAGAATAAAAATAGAACAGAGAACACTTGCATGTACTTGACTCAGATTAAACTTGTTAACATTTGGCCTCATTTACTTTTATCATTTGTTTTCTTTTTATGTTTATTTACATAATTTTGTTTTCTTTACCATTTGAATGTAGGTTGCATCCATCCCGTCCCTTTACCTCTCAAATACTTCAATATATATATCTGAAGAATGAGGATATTCTCTTATATAACCACAGTATAGTTTTCAATGTTAGCAAATGTACTATTAATACAATAATGTTCATACGACATTTTTGTTAATTGACCCACTGATGTCCTTTATACCATCTTTTTTTCCTTTCCAGTCTAGCATCAAGTATTGTATTTTGTCCTTGCTGTTTCTTTGATTCATTTAATATGGAACAAGTCCACAGTCTTTCTTTTTCTTTTATGAAATTTGCACTTTTGGAGAACACTGTCTCTCCTCTCTTTATTTATTATTCAGAATGTACCTCATTTGGGTCATTTATTTCCGTATGATTAGATTCAGGTTATAAGTTCCTGGCTGGACTACTACAACAATGATTTTGTGTCCTCCTCAGGGCATCTGCCTAATGGTTATCTGCCCCTCATTGGTAATACTCATTTTGATCAGCTGGTTAAGGTGGTGGGTGATTTTTCCATTGCATGATTGCTATTTTTTCCCCATTGCAGTTAATAGGCAGTCTGTGGGGAGACATGTTAAAACCCATGTAAATATCCTGTTCTGCATCTAAATTCCCCCTCACCCCTGTCAAGTTCTCAGGTTTGGCATTCATTGATGATTCTTGCCTGAACCAGTCTTCACTTTGGTCACAAAGGGATGATTTTCCAATAATAGTACTCCCTCCACAATTGCCACTTGACACTCATTCTATTATAACCAAGAGCCCTTTCTTCTCTCCTATGTATTTATTATCAATATAAGCTTGTGAATTCCCTCTTTTTCCCCCTTAGTGGTCTATAATTCATTACTAATTTGTTACTCAAATTGTCCCACGTTTGCCAAGTGGAGCCCTTTCGCGCTAGATCTGTCTTTGTGACCTGTTCCTGTCTTTTATTTTTGAGTACTTTCTTACTGTTTGGCTCATCTTTTACCTGCCCAAACCCTGGAATCAGTCATTTCTCCAAGGAACCATTGTTTCTTTTAGTAGGGAATGGTATTAGAGACCAAGATCTGGGTGCTAGGTATCTTCATTTCTCGACCCTTTCAGCAGATAAGCTAGGACATTTATGTGTGTATGTGCACAATATGCATGTAAATGTGTATGCAAGTACACATATCCCTATATATGTACTGTGTGCACGTGCATGTGGATATACACAGATATTGTAGAAATTGTGAATTTTCATATATACTACAAATTCTAGTCTATCCTGACAGATTTTGTTCTTGCTTATCCCCATTCCATTTTTACATGTGCCTTCTTCGACATTGAGAATCCTGTTTTTTTAACCATCTACACATTTATTCTTTTGCTCATTCCTATAATACATTTAAAATACTTTCAAAATTGCTTTGCACTTACCACCAAAAGAAAAGCAAAACAATACAAAAACCCTGTTAAAAGGATATGTTTTAAGGCTATGTATTCAGTTCTCTACGCTACCCAAAGGGCAATAAAGTCAAATATGTCAAATATTGTGCTTTCTTCTTTTACCCCCTCATTTAAAAATCAGTTCAGAGTTCATTTTTTTCAGTTTGCCCTCAGTTTTAGACTTTTACCTCCTTCCATCCTCTTTGATATATTTTTAAAAATGTAGACGATCAGTTTGCTTCCAAAAGTCAACTGCACAAGAGGTATACTTAGACAAATATCGCTTCTTTCCATACCACTTCCATCTTCTTCCCCCAGCCCTTGTCGATAACCAACTGCTCTTTTAGTTGATTCTTGTTTGTGGTTTTTTTGTAGTGATAGGCAGATATATGCACATTTTATTTCTACTTCTTTCTTACACCACTTTGTTTTTCTCACTTAATAGTTTTTCCTGAAAAATCACTTTCTGTCAATTCATAGGTATTGTCTTCATTCTTTTTTATAGTTGTATTCCATGGGTGTATATACTACAATTTATTCAGTCTCCTTTACTTGGACATGGGTAGTGTCCAGTATTTTAGAGTTACAAATAATGCCTGCAATGAATAATCTTTTGTATATATACTTTTGTAACGTTGGAGATATGGCTCTAGGGTAAATTCGTAATAGAATTGCTGTTTGAAGAATGTAGGTATATTGTTAAACCTTGCTTCACCAGATTTATTGTCAAGGTTTTGAAATGTTGCCAGTCTGTTGGATGAAAACATTATCTCACTGTAGTGTTATTTTGTATTTCTCTTATAAGTGAAGTCTAATAACCTTTTATATATATATTTTTAACATATAACATATTATTTATTTCAGGGGAACAGGTCTGTGATTCATGAGTCTTATGTAATACCCAGTGCTCATTACAACACATACTGTCCCCAGTGTCCATCACCCAGTTACCCCATACTCCCACCCCCCTCCCCGCCAAGCAACCCTCAGTTTGTTTCCTATGATTAAGAGTCTTTCATGGTTTAAGAGTCTCCCTCTCTGTCTCATCTTGTTTCATTTTTTTCTTCTCTTCCCCTGTGATCCTTTGCCTTGTTTCTTAAATTCCACATATCAGTGAGATCATATAATTGTCTTTCTCTGATTGACTTATTTCGTTTAGTATAATACCCTCTAGTTCCATCCACATCGTTGCAACCTTTTATATTTTAAGGGCCTTTTTAATAATTTTTTTGGAAATATTTTTCATGTCTTTTGCCCATTTTTATGTAGACATTTATTTTTGGAAGTACTTTGTATGTTAGGGAATTAGCTCTCCCTCTCTTTTCCTTTTTTTTTTAATGTAAATGTAAAGATGTATACATGTGTATATTACATATATGCATATGTGTGTATATATATATATACACACACAAAAAAACCAAATATTTTCTCCCAGTTTGCCATTTGTTTTTTTTTTTTTAAAGATTTTATTTATTTATTTGAGATAGAGAGAATGAGAGATAGAGAGTACGAGAGGGAAGAGGGTCAGAGGGAGAAACAGACTCCCTGCCAAGCAGGGAGCCCGATGCGGGACTCGATCCCGGGACTCCAGGATCATGACCTGAGCCGAAGGCAGTCGCTTAACCAACTGAGCCACCCAGGCACCCGTCATTTAGTTTTTGACTTTGCAAGCAGTTGCTTTTTCCCATGCAAAAGTTTTCCCTACATCTAAGTTACAGAGGTATCTAGCTATGTTATTCTTCTAGTACATTTATAGTTTTAGTTTTGTTTCCTTTAGCTCTCGGTCTGTTTGGAGTTTTTTTTTTAATTATTTTTTATTATTATGCTCAATTAGCCAGCATATAGTACATCATTAGTTTTTGATGTAGTGTTCCAACGATTCATCTGTTGCATATAATACCCAGGACTCATCACCACACGTGCCCTCCTTAATGCCTCTCACCCAGTTACCCCATCCCCCCACCCCCCTCCCTTCTGTAACCCTCAGTTTGGTTCCTGGAGTCCAGAGTCTCATGGTTTGTCTCCCTCTCTGATTTCTTATATGCTGTGAGGAATGGATCTATAATTTCTCTTTTTTCCAAATGCTGAACCTTTTATTAATCCTTAATTTGTTCTTGGACTTTAAAAATTTTTTCTGTGAAGTGAGAAGAATTCTTTGATATACATACATGTACATAATATGTACACATACATGTAGACAAGACTATAAAGTCTAAAAATAGAGTTCCTAGCATAGGTAAAATTTCTTTCCCTTGATGTATATGAGGTTGGGTGTATTATGAAATGCTAACTGCCACAGCAATCAAAATATTACCTTCGGTGTGAGTAAGGGGCAAGGAGGTCTGCCCCTAATTTGCTTTAGAGCAGCTCCTTAGAGTGGGTAGTAGATCGTGGTCTTGTGACTGTTTACATAGGACAATTAATTGAAAATTGGTAAGAAGATCTTTGCAAAGTTGCTGCTAAAATATATTTTTTTCTAATTTGTAGTTTAAGCATAGCTTTAGAACTTTAGTTTTTGGTGCTTTTGTTTTGAGATTGGTGATATAATTATAAATAGACACAATTTTTAAGTATAGTTTGTCCTTTTTCTTGGGCCTTTTGTCTCACTGATGGGTAGTACCTTCTGAAGGATTGGGGAAATACCCTGTGCCCTCCTCCATGGCCATAGTTTTTCACAAATGTTTTTGATAGTATTTTTTCCTTGTTTCCTTTTCTAATATTTAAAAACAAAGTCAAGTGTATCCAATTCTTTTCCATTTTAAAGGCACAAAATTGAAGTATATTTGTTTCCCAAATGTTTTATCCACTGACTTCTCATGACCTGTGTTTTTCTCAAGGTTATAGGATAGAGTAGAAAGCTTCTGGGAAACTGAAAGGAGAGATGTAATCTTTTCCTGCCTAAATACCTTTCCTTTTTCTTTAGACAGTCTGCTATTGTTGTCTAGAATGACATTATGAGCTGTAGAAACATAACTTTCCTTTCCATTTTGGTGAATATATATTGCTTTTCATCTTAATAAGATTTTTTAAAAAGTTGCTTATCTCCATTTTTTTTTCTGAGGGAGAAGATACCTATCATTGGGCCAGCTCTAAGTAGTGAGGAAGTCCTGTTGTTCTAATATGAGCATGGCTAAAGGATTGATGAACATGATATGTTGAATTCCTAGAATGGTACAGCCCTGCCTATGATATACAAGAGTTGTGAATGGTGTACAACTCTTATTGAGTGTGCAGCTTTACTTAATTTAATAACAAATTTTACTTTTGTTTATCTAATTGGTAAGCAAAGTGTATATTTATTTCAGTTGGTGCTGACTCCAAAGGAGAGAAAATGGTATAGAGAAAAGAGCAAATTAAGTCCTTAATCTGTTAGTTGTTATGTCACTTTGGGCAACATTCTCAACTTGTCTGGGCCTCAGTTCCATCATTGATGAAAGGGTAATACTAATATATTGTGAGGATTAAGTGAGGTAATATATGTATATGAAATTCTTAGCAAGTTGCCTGACACATGGTAGACATTCAGTAGACTGTAATGATTAACATTATTATTTTGTTAGGAACTTAGATGCCTTTTTGGTGAAAGATGTTAGATATAGCCAATATTGAATAGTGATGATGAACAATTTGGCCATGAACTCATTTTCTAGTCCCTTCTTTGGCTGATTTCCAAGATACTCATCATTTGCGACTGTTGGCAAATTGTGACAGCAGGCAAGGAAATCGAGGGTTAAAATTGTAAACATCTGATTCTTTGTTTATAGTGAAAATAATTGGTACAAGTAGACACACAGCCAGTTGCTGTAGGTGGCTGTGATACGATTTTATGACAGAGGTCCATAGATATTCCTTTTCTTCTTCCCCTCTCTAAAGTGAGTCAGCTATTTTAGTAATTGAGACTATATCCAGGAGGCCATTATACACTCCTTGGCTACTTCTACCTTTCGATGAGCCATAGCGTAAGGAAAAGAGTGCAGCTCCTTTTGAAATTTATCATTGCAGAATGATAGACAAAGATGCCAGGTGTTGGGAAACTACTGGTCCTGGGAGGATACTGTGGGGGAGGAAAAAAGAAAATGAGGAAAGAGATCATTGGTCTCTGTAGGTCTGTGGAATAGTCTCTGCTTCCTTCCCATTTTTGTCCACAACTCTTTGTAGTCTCCTTTTCCTGAGTTTCATAGTTTATCTGGTAAAATTTCTATTACAGTATCCTTTTGCTCAGGCTGCTAGTGTAACTTACCTGAGTTCATTTGGAAAAAGGATGAATTAGATACAGTAGTATTCCATTTTTCCTCCTTTTCTCCTTTCCTTTTAGCAAAACCAAAGCCCAGTCTCTCATTTCTACACTTCTGTAAGGCTTTTCACTTAAATTTCTAATGATGAAAATCACAAATTAGTTTCTATAAATTCTACTTATTGTGTCCTTTTGCATGTAAGATAGTGCCCTGACCTTAAAGTGGTTACTATTTAAGTAAGGAGAAATTAGAACACTGAGTTTGTGGTATTTGTACACTTGATAGCATAAGAAATTGGGTGAGTCACATACCTGCCCCTCACCACTTCACCCCTCCTTTATCACCCCTTCTTCCACCAGAAAGCTTCAGGGAAACTCCAACTGAGTATAACTAAATGCAAAAAATGCTTCAATTTAGTTGAGAAAACAACTAGATGATTAACAGCGACTACCCAGTGACCAGTTCAGAAAAGCTCATTTATAATGACTTTATTTAAAACTTTGAAAGCTTAAAGGGGACAAAGTTAACTAACAGATGTAGTCTAACAGATTATTCATCTCCTTTCAGCAGTGTACTCTAAATTGGGTCTTCTCAAAACTCATTCTAACCAAATGGATAAGGTTCTGTTTAAGGAAGCACAGGAAAGCTTTTCTGTTCCCTTTGACAACTAGTTCTTCTAGGTGAGTATCTGCCTTAATTGGCAGAATTGTAGTAATTCCTCATAATTTGGGTGAAGTGATTTTGTGAGTATTCCAAGTCATCACAATACAGTATTTTTTCTAAATTTGGATGGTTCCATTGATAGAACAAGACTAACAGGGTCTTACTTAGCTTCCCTCTCACACAAATGCTTCTTGTAGTTAGTATGAGGGAACTTAGGTTTTGGTTTCTGCTGTACTTTTTTTAGTCCTCCATTCTCTTCTTCATGGACTCCAGTAGTAATAGTCAGTTACAGTATTTTTTACAAACAAAGTCTATTTATTTAAGTGCATGTTCCCAGACTGTGTTTAAATGGCTATGGAAGGAATACTATTAATTTATAGATCTTGGCCCTCTGGAGGCACTACCCATCTTAATTTTAGAAATTACCTTTGAAAAGGATATAAGGGAAAATATATAGTTATTTTCCCTTGTCTGAGTCTGTGCATAGTTTGAGAATAAATTTCTGATGGCAGTTTGACAGACCTTTCTATGGTATAGCTGTTAGGACTAAGAGCATTTTAATTTGGATGAATAAAAAAAAGTAAAGTTCAATGGAAAGCACAATTATTAAAATAATTTTGTGATTTTTTTTCCTTAAACAATTTAAAAATATTACCTTTTATTTTAAAGGGTTTTATTAAATTTTAAATATTTATTAGGACTTTTCTTTGTATGTGAGCTGGGCACAGCCACCAAGTTACTTCATCCAGTCAAACTGTATTGGGACTTCTGTTCTTACTTCAATCACAGCACTAAGTAAACAGAAAAGTCATTGTATTATTATTTTTGCGTATGCTTGATAATAGTTATTCAGAAATTCATATTTACAGTTTAAAATAAGAGGTAATTGCTTCACTGGTTACAGGAATAACTATTTCTTGTCCTAATATTTTAATTTTTGTAGGGATTAATGTCTTACATATTAATTGTGCCCTCTTAAATTATTTGAAACTCAGGCTTCCATGGGAATTGAGCCCAGTTGTCAGAATTTATTTATTGCTGACTCTTTTATATAGTAGCTTTATATGCTCATTTGTAAGTAAGGAGCAAGATGCTTTGTATAGACCTCTCAAAATCAGATGAAAATGTCTAAATATACATTATTTTGATAAAAAAAAAGTTATTTCCCTAAGTAGTATGTTTAAAGTCATGATGCCAGTACATACATTAATTCCCTACATTGTGACCAATGTAATGAGCACAGCTTAGAGGTTTAATTCTGAGGCCTACAAAATATGGTCAGGACCAGTGTTATTATTACTCTCTGGTACTCTGCCTACAGCTAGTTTGTAAGACTTTGGATCAGATTAAATAGGGGAAGAAACAAGAGTCTGGGACTTTCTGGTTAACAGACCATAACTGTGTGATTTTTTTCAGGTGGCCTTCTGATAGCATCTGCTCATTTTGGTGCATATGTATATGGGACAGACATAGACTACAATACAGTTCATGGCTTGGGTGAGTAGAGGTTCTAGACTGTTACAGTCTTTGTTCTTGTACCAAGTGTGCCTTCAAAATAATTAAATGGGTTTATATGGCATTATGCATCTATCTTTAGTGTTAAGATACAGAGTTGTGATAAAATGTAGTTTTATTTATTCTTACAAACAATAAGATTCATTGGATATCTGCTTTTTACGAAGTGATTCAGTATGTGTAAAGTGATCTCCTGGGGGAACACAAAGATGAAAAAGAAAAAGCTCTCCCAACAGTCTTAGTAAGAGAGATTTTTAAAAAGTTGGCAAACTCTAAGGTTGTGAACTTTAGGCTTGGGAAGGAAGTAGGAGAGGGACTAGCCATCTTCTAATCAGCATGTCCATATTAATAACATGTATACGGTTTCTATTTAAAGATTATCACCATTTCTTATTCATAATCATATGTTGCTTGAATACTGGATTAATTTTTAGTCCTTGAGTACCATATTGTTTTTAATTCCATAACCAACCAAAATATTTTTGAAGCCATTAAGGTGACAGTAACTTAGAAGATTCTGCATTAGACTCAGGTTAACTGGAGACAAACATTTGTTTACTTTGGAGGCAATTTTGGAAACTGTTTTAAAATCTAGACACTTTGCTTATGATACATGATTGGATGGAATTGAATCAAACTGAAGAAATTATTTCCATATACCTGAATGGTACTAAAAATGTCAAGTTTCATTGATGATTTCGAAATTCTATTTATGGTGGTATTCCATTATTGTAACTAGAATCAGCCCTTTGAACACACTTCTTTTTACCACCCAATTTTTCTCAAGTTACTGTATTGGTGAGAATTTATTATACCTTTTTTTTTTTTCCTGAAACAATCTGACATACTGTGCTTGATGACTTCTCTTTTTTCCTACCTTGACTCTAAGGAATTTAGTAATATTTATCGTAAGGAGAATTGGTTATATTTTATCAAATTCATCTAAATGGGCTAAGCAGAAAAAGATATTCTTGGGAATATGTTAGAGCAAAGTGCTAAGAAGAATTATTCCAGTTTGCTTTTAGTAGAAGTAGTATGTTTGCTTTAAGGAGATTGTCCTATATAATTTATTAGAATTCTTATTTATGAAAGTTATGTTATAACCTTTCAGTCTACTTGGGTAAAATTCTGATTGAGGTAGAATTTTCTCAGAGCTTTTCCAAGATGCTGTTAAATATGCCCTCTGTTTCATATGCTTGTAATTTTTTTCTGTACTCTCAAATATTCTCAAAAACCTCCTGTTTTAAAAATACAAAACCTTTCCTATCAGTCCTATAGGGATCCTCTAACTGCCACTTTGTTTTTCTTTCCTTTTGCCAAAGTGCATCTTGCAAACTAGTATTGCTGTCTTTTCTTCTTCATCTCTCACTGTCTTCTGTCCATTATCTTCTAGCTTCCATGTCTGCTGAAAACTCTTAGTAGGGCCACAAAACTATAGCATTTGGCAGTGTTGACCTTCGTAAAGCCTCCCTTGGTTTCCTGGACCATGGCCTCATCGGTACTTAAACTTCCTTGGCTTTCCATCTCCGTCTTAAGGCCCTGTGGATTTCTTTGACCTGTGCTAACATGTTGCTTTTTTCCAGGCATCTCTCTTTGACCACTTCTCTCACAATGCATGTTATACAGTCATGTCATTCTTCTCCTTTTGATTTTTTAAGTTTCATTTTTATTGTGAAGTAGATCAAGATACAGAAGAGTATGTAAAAATAGAATAATTATAGAAAAAAACATGTAACTGCCACCTAGGTTAATAAAAAATGTCATTCATTCTTATGGATTTAACTTAAGTGCGTATCTGATATCTCCTCAGTATATATATTCTGGCCTCTACCCACTGAATAGCTCTTTCTGAATGTTCTATAGGTAGCTGACAAGCATGATCTCAAATCTCATTTTTTCCCCTAAGCTTGTTTTTCCTCTTGGTTTCTCTGAATTTTTTTTTTTTTTTTTTGTGAGAGAAGGCAGGTAGGGGCAGAGGGAGAGAGAGAATTTAAGCAGGCTTCATGCTGAGCGTGGAGCCCAGTGGTGGGCTCGATCTCACATCCCTGAGATCATGACCTGAGCTGCAATCAAGAGTTGGATGCTTGACCGAGTCACCCAGGCACCCTGGTTTCTCTGATCTTAATCAACGGTTTCCTAAACCAGAACTTTTGAACTTCTTCCTTCAACTCCCACTTTAACTTTTCATCTGTAATGTCTCCATTTGGCCTCCTCTCTCCATGGTCATAGCACTCTTTCATTTCCCAAGTTAGCTCTCTTCATTTCTGTTTCATTTATTTGATTCATCCCAATTTTATATGGGGCTGTTTGCTCTTGGAGGAAAGGGACCATGTTCTATACAGCTTTGTATCTTACTTGTATATGCTTTCAATTTGGTACGTGTTGAATGAGTGTTTAAGGCAGTTTTACTTGAAAGGTTACAGAACAAGATCAGTTAGATAGTACATTTTACTGTTCAAAATATATTTTTGTAGTAAGTTGAAATAAAGTATGTAAATAAAGTTACGATTTTAAATGAAATCAAGTTTTATTTGAGTGGATGTCGGTTTAGATGAGTTAAACATTATTTTAGCTAAACAATAAGAAATAAGAATGCTCTATTTGATTTAGTAGTTTCTGTATTCCTTTTTCTTTCCCTTTAGGAAAGGCTAGTAGGAAAAACCAGAAATGGAGAGGACCAGATGAAAACATTAGGGCAAATCTTCGTCAGTATGGTTTAGAGAAGTATTACCTTGATGTCCTGGTTTCAGATGCATCTAAACCTTCCTGGAGGAAGGGCACATATTTTGATGCAATCATCACTGATCGTAAGTTTATTTTTATACAAAAGTAAGAGTAGGATTAGTTTCCTAAAGTCATTTACATTTAAAGCAGAAAATCTGTCAACACACAGAAAAATACCAGCTTGTACTAGTATTCTCCCCCTGCCCCCAGACTTCTTCAAATAGTGAGAAGGAAAAAATGTGAATATAAGGCAGGACACCAATTTAACTAAGTAGTTAAGAGTTTACTGTTTTGGTTTTTTAAATTATATATGTTAATCTGTCTTTCCTTTTTCTCTTCAGTTTATTTTTTGGAGCATATATTTGTTTTAAATTTTTGACTATAATTGGTTATTAGTATACCAACTGGAGCCAAAATGTCATTTGCAATTAGTGTCAGATGTCAAAGAAGAGAGTTTTTATTTTTTTTACAGATTTATTTGAGAGAGAAAGCATGTGCCCGCCCCTTCTTCCCCCCACCATGAGTGGGGGTAGGGGCAGAGGGAGAGAATCTTCAAGCAGACTACTGAGCATGGAGCCCAACATGGGGCTCAGTCCCACAACCATGATATCATGACCTGAGCTGAAACCAAGAGTTGGATGCTCAACCTACTGAGCCACCCAGGTGCCCCAAAGAAGAGAGTTTTAGATATCACATAATTCTCCATGTGTAAGCTTTGGTGTTTTGTTTTGTTTTTGTAGCACATGTTTTCACTGACATCCCCTTTCTAGAGTTACAAGAAATTTGGAATTTTTTGAGCCAATAGGCTTGTGAACCCACTGAGCTTCAGGAATGTGAATAGAACTTTTTTTCTGTGCGCCATGAGTTCTGGGCTTTGCAGGGATCCTATCTAAGAATAGTTTGGCCTTTTCTACCATATTTTGCAGTAAGTCTGTAAATAGTGGCAAGTGTATCTCAACCGTTCCATCTCAGCTCACTTCAGTTCTTTGGTAACTTAGGTGGTTTCAGATCTAACAAAAGAAAAATTATCAAGGCATTACACTGTCAGTTTGAATCTACTTTATAAAAATTGGGTGACTTTTTATTAACAATCCAATTTATTGTTTGTTCTCATTCTGTATGTATATATAAAGCATAATTTTTTTTTTAATCCATTGAGAATGAGTTGGATGCACTATGGCCTTTTACCCCTATACTTCAGTGTATAGAATAGGGATAGTCTCTTAGGTAGCCAGAGTACAGTTAACATTTTCAATAAATCAATGCAATAGTTTAATTTTATTTTGTTATCCACTTTGTCAGTCACCCAGGAATATCCCTTTATTTCTTTGTTTTTTTCCCTCTGGGACAGTATCCAATCTTGTGTCAGGTATTACATTTGGTAATATCTCTTTTAGTTTGTCACACTGTCACAGCCTTTCTCTGTCTTTTTGTGACATTGGCATTTTTGAAGAACATGATGGCCTGTTGTCCCTCCCAATGTTTTATATAGAATGTTCCTTGTGGTATGTATTCTCGGCTGGAATATTTCACAGGTGGCGATGTGTTCCTCTCTGAGTGTCCCATCTGGAGGCCCATGATATATCCATCTACACCTAACTGGTGATTAGGTGACTTTTGACTACCACATTATTTGTGTTTTCTGTCTAGCTCCATATGGTATCAGAGAATCTACAAGAAGAACAGGTTCTCAGAAGGAAATACCAAAGGGAATGGAAAAATGGTAAGTGAAAGTTAAATATGATACTACTATTTTGAGAAGAAGCATGTTGTTCTTTTTAATTATCTAAGTTTAACAGTCTTAAGGTTTTTTACTGATTTTGAAATTTTGTTTTCTTTTTCTAGTCCAGAAAGCCATGTTCCTGTTTCCTTAAGCTATCATCTGAGTGATATGTTTTTTGATCTGTTAAACTTTGCAGCTGAGACCCTCGTGTTAGGTGGAAGACTAGTCTATTGGTTACCAGTGTACACACCAGAGTATGTAATGTTAACTAATTTTATTTTTAATTTCACTTTTGTTATGGTATTTGTAAATCTAACATTTTTTCCCTATTTTTAATTGGATTCAGGGTAAATATCTTTGTGTTTAATGTTTATAATAGTCTTTGTTTACCTACATATGTGTATAAAACAGGCCCCTTCCTCTTATTGATTGAATTGCTTTGACCTTTTTATTTTACATCAGGAGTTGGCAAACTATAGCCTGTGGGCCAGATATGGTCCTCACCTGTTTTCATAAGGCACTTGAGCTAAGATGGGTTGAACTAAGATGGTTTTTTACATTTTTAAATAGTTGTTAAAAAGAAAAAAACAAAGAACATGTGACAGAAATATATGAACTTAGTTGAGGGATTCATCTGCTCCAAGCTAGCTTTAACATATATTGGCTGTTATGATCACTTTAAATGCAATAAATCTTTTTTAAAAGCTAACACCAAAATAAAAGCTGTGCTTATATTTAAAGCCCTAATTATGTTCCACATTGTTGGTTTGGGTTTTATTATTCAGTAATTATTAATTATAAACAGAGCTGTGTACGTCAACAATGAAACACAAGGTGTCTTGAATAAGACAGGATCTTTAAATTTGAAAGAAAATTTATTATCAAGCTCAAAATTTGGCTGTTTCTCTAATCTGCCATAGTAATCTTTTTAAAAATTACTTTAGTTCCTATATTTACTATACATAATTGTACAGAAAGCATTTTAAAACAGTGTTACTGTCTTTACGGAATGGCGGATGGTCCTCAGCAGTTGGAAGCTGTGCTGTTTTTTGTTTTATAAATGTTGTGTTGAAAGTTACCATGGCCTGACTTTAGTCATGCATTTGTTTATCGGCTGATAAGAGTGTATGCATTCATGCCCAGGCTCCTTAATACTGGCCTTATGTTTTGCTGCCAGTGATAATCTCATTTAATCTTTTCACTTTAGAAATAAGGAAAATAAATTCCAAGGAGTGAAGTGACTTCTCTACAGTTAATAGCTAGGTAGCTATTTGGTTTCCTTATTCCTGTGGCTATGTTCACTTAATTCAGCAGTCTACTGATCTCAGGTGCCTGGTATGTGAAGTGATAGATGGAGTTTTACTAATATTTTTGGAGAAGATCACTTTTGTTTGTTTCTATATAAAAATGGTTCCTGCCTTAGACAAGCTGAATTCCAACAGCAAGCTTACTGTTTTTTTTTAAATTTATTTATTTGAGAGAGAAAGTGTGCATGTACACACGTGCATGCAGGGTGGGGGAGGGGTCGGGGAGAGGAGAGAGAGAATCCCAGGCAGACTCCCTACTGAGCTTGCAGCCTGATGCAGGGCTGGACCCCATGACCCCAAGATCACCGAGCTGAAACCAAGAGTCAGACACTCAACCAACTGAGCCTCCCAGGTGCCCCCGCACCCCGTTTTTTAAATTAAAGATGTATTTATTTATTTGCGAGAGAAAGAGAGAGAAGCTTACTGTTGTGTTTTTTTTTTTAAGATTTTATTTATTTATCTGAGAGAGAGAGAATGAGAGATAGAGAGCATGAGAGGGAAGAGGGTCAGAGGGAGAAGCAGACTCCCCGCCGGGCAGGGAGCCCAACGTGGGACTCGATCCCGGGACTCCAGGATCATGACCTGAGCCGAAGGCAGTCGCTTAACCAACTGAGCCACCCAGGTGCCCAGAAGCTTACTGTTTTAACTCAAGTTTCAGAACTAAATTTTTAAAACATTTATTTTGAGATAATTTCAGACTTACATAAAAGTTTCAATTGTAACACAAAAAACTCTCCACATCCAAATTTTCCAGCTATTAATGTACACATATTGTATCTTCTTTCCTCACCCATTACATTAAGCACATACCCATTATCATTCATTTTTTTTGGAACTGTTTGTGAAGTTGCAGATAATGATGCCCCATAACCCCTACATACTTCATCATATTTCTCAGAAACAAGAACATTCTTGTCAAACCACAATCAACCCTCCGAGTTTGGAAATCAGCATTGATAACACTGCTGTCCATTTTATGGACCCTATTCAAATTTTACCAGTTGCAGTCCATCTGAGAAAATGTGCTCTATTAACCCATCACGTCATTCTCCTCCAGTCTGGAATATATCCCCATTCTTTTCTTATCTTTTGTGTCCTTAACAGTTTTGTAGAGTATATGGCTTATATTAAAGGTTGGCCTTCAATCAGGGTCCATCTGATTTTTTTTTTTTTTTTTTAGAGAGGGAGGTGGCAGGGAGGGTCAGAGAGAAAATTGATGTTTCTTTTATGACCAGATTTAGGTAGTGCCCTTGGTAGGAGCACCACAAAAATTATACTGTGTTTTTCATGCATTGCGTCATGGGGCACATGGAGTTAACCCCTACTAGAGATCTTAAACTTGATCATCTGATCATTTTGTTCTGTTAGTGTTCTCCACTGTGAGCCATCATTTTCTCCTTTGATTAGTATTTCATGGGGGGAGATATCCCAAGATTACATCAATATCTTGTTCTTCATCAAATCACTATTCACATCGACAACTCCATTGTTGACAACCACTACAATGATGACTTTTGTGTTCCATCATTCCTTCTGCATTTGTAAGTTGGCATCCTACTGTAAGAAAGAGTTTTCCCTTCTTCCCCCATTTGTTTACAAATTTTCCTCCATTTGTTTACAGATTTATTAATTTATTTTGCTATGGAATCATGGACGCTTATATTCATTGGGTTATAATTCATTACTGTCACTATTTTGTTGCTCAAATTGTCTCAGATTTGATCAGTGGGAGTCAATTTGGGGTGGTTCCTCTGTCCTTTTGAAATATTCCCATTAGTTTTTGGGTACTTATTTTTTGGCATTTCTGACTGTCCACTATTTTGTACTTTATTATTTAATTACAATTGAAGTTGAATGTACTTAAGAATATCTTTTGTAGTTCTTTTTTTTCCTTTCTCTTTATACAAAATTAAATTGGAGGTACTTTTAAGTATTTTTAATATTTCTAAAGATCTTACAAAATGGACACTGGATCTTTTTTCAGTGACTTCTTGATTTTAATAATTTTCAACAAGGGAAAATTTCCAAATGCATATTATCAGAGGGATATTTTAGAAGTAGAAAAGGGATACAAAGGGTGCCTGGGTGGCTCAGTTGGTTAAGCGACTGCCTTCGGCTCAGGTCATGATCCTGGAGTCCGGGATTGAGTCCCGCATCGGGCTCCCTGCTCAGCAGGGTGTCTGTTTCTCCCTCTGACCCTCTTCCCTCTCGTGCTCTCTATCTCTCATTCTCTCTCTCAAATAAATAAATAAAATCTTTAAAAAAAAAAAGAAAAGGGATACATGTTTTTACCACCTTTTTTACCTTAGATGTTTATCAAGGGAAAGATTTCATCCAGGTATATGGCTAATGCACACATGGGAAGACTACGATATTTACTTCCCTGACTTCATCCCTGGAGAAAGTTATGTCCATGTCCTCTGATGTTCATTACTAAACTTCTGTTTTTCCTTCCCTTTATTTTTTTTCTGTTTATACTTTTATTTGCATTTATTTTATGCAGAATTTACTCCTAGGCAGTAAATTTTTGTTTCTGCAGTTTCTTGTGGGATATCTTTTTCTTCTGTGCAACCTCCTCTTCTGGTTTAGAAACAGTCTACTCTTTTCCAGTCAGGATCCTCTCAGGGTGGCAGGGAGAGCCCATGTATGGGTTAATCTGACCATGAGCCCTGTATGTTCTATGTCACATCTTGGGGGCTTTGTTCACCTGGATGTGCTTAATGACCAGAAAATCTACATCCAAACCCTTAATATTTGGCATTACTCTCTGCATTTGAAAGCATGTGCAGTAAAAATTCAGCACTCTTTTTGGGCCACCAACTATTTGGCCTGGGCACACCTACCACCTCCACCAGTGTAGAGATAGAATGGCTTCTGCAGTGTGACAGCCTTCAGATACTTGGTGGCTTTTCAGATATGCATAGCCTTGACGGCGTGGGCAGTTTCATGTGTGTTCTTAAAGTGAACACGAAGATTTGAACCTCTTGATTTGCATGATTTTGTAGGGTTTTTCTGGGTCAAGTGAATAGCAAACCATTTTTCAGAGGTCACCTCAGGCCAATTATGGGAAGAATATGATCTCCTTCCCTTTAGCCTAAGGTGATTTTATTAATAAAGTATTAATTCTTATTACTGTTAACTTATTAATGAACTTAAGTGTTCATTAGGAAATGAATTATTTTCACTTCTGTATTGTATGTCATACAAAATCTTTGTTCTTTTAAAATAGCACAGTATTATTAGGAATTTAGGACCAAAATCATCTGCAAAAGTTTGAAATAATGTTCTTGCTTCTGAATTAAACGATTTAGAATTAAGTTTGATTATGTTGTATTTAAAAATATGGCTTTGTGTTGAACTAAGAATAAAGATTTCATTTTAAAATTATACATTAGCACAGCTCAATTTTAAAACTTTTTTACTTTTGGTGTTGTGAATATAGGCTTTTAGTACTACTACTGAATTCATTTATTCAAACAAATTCTGTTACATGATTCAAGTTTAAAAATAAGAATTACAGGAGTGCCTGGGTGGCTCAGTCAGTTAAGTGTCTGCCTTCGGCCCAGGTCATGATCTCCAGGTCCTGGGATTATGCCCTGCATCAGGCTTCCTGCTCAGTGGGGAGTCTGCTTCTCCTTCTCCCTCTCCCTCTCCCCCTGCTCATGCTCTCTCTATCTGTGTCTCAAATGAATAAATAAAATCTTTAAAAAAAATAAGAATTACATATTATAATCAAGTTCAGGTATTATTCTTTAAACCCAGGGCATTTTGAAAGTATAAGACCTAATAAAAATAAAGTATTACTTAAATGCTTAGTAATAACTAAGAATTGTGAAGAATTGTCAGCTGATAATTGAAAAAGGATTTTCTGTTTGGTAATTTAAATTGCAGTGAAAAAATTGCTACTCAACAAACTTGCTGTATTTCCTTGAATGTAGATTTTCCCCACTCAGGGGTATTGGATTTTTTGCCAGTATCAAGATGCTCTATACACTTTGTGTCTTTTCACCTTTATTTATTCTGTCCCCATTGCTTGATAAACCATTTCTTCTTTCCTCAGCTGATAAAATTCTAGTCATCTTTCAAGACCTGGCTTAACTGTCACCACCTCTATGATACTTTTCCAACCCTTCTCAGCAGAATTAATCTTTCATCTGTGCTCTCATAGTAGTTTATTCTTATCACTCATAGAGACTGACCACATAAAATTACTGTAAGCTGTTGGTATTTATGGGTTTATTATTCAGTTTTAGCTACTTGCAAGTGACCCTGAAAGTCTGTGTGATAGTCATTTGGATGGCATAAATTCAACTCACGTGTGTTTGATGTTATAGGAATTGCTAAGCTACTGACTGCAGCTGTCTGCTCAGGCTTTATGTATCCATAGTGTTCTTTTCTAATTTGCATTAGACACAGATAACTCTCTTGAGGTGATTAGAAACTGCATTTCTTTGTGAAAGATGTTCTTTAATAGAAATCCCACTGCTACTGCTTGTGATAAAAACAATGACAAAGTAAAGTTTAGTAAAGTATGCCCCAGCGTAGGATTTGGGGGGTACATTTTTTTTCCAATTCTATTGAGAAATAATTGACATACCTCACTGTATAAGTTTAAGGTGTATATAGTATGATGGTTTGATTTACATAGGGAATAAACTTTAGTAAAGTGAATTTTGGAGTAGCTCAGAGCAGTGAAGGAACATGTTTTTCTTTTCTTTTTTTTTTATGTTCAGTTAGCCAACGTATAGTACATCATTAGTTTTTGGTATAGTGTTCAATGATTCATTAGTTGCATGTAAAACCCAGTGTTCATGTTTTTCATCTCTTAACTAGGAAACAAGAAAAAGTGATCCTTTGAACTGTTCAGTGAGTGCTCTAATCAGTGCAAAATCTGTTTCTCAAATGGGAGGTGAAATTCTAGTGACACTTGGAAATAGCTTGAGGCGTGAAGGTTCATAGGAAAATGAGTGTCAAAATTGGTTCATGGAAAAGCTAGGGGTCGGGGCGCCTCGGTGGCTCAGTCGTTAAGCGTCTGCCTTCGGCTCAGGTCATGATCCCAGGGTCCTGAGATCGAGCCCCACATCGGGCTCCCTGCTCGGCGGGAAGCCTGGTTCTCCCTCTCCCACTCCCCCTGCTTGTGTTCCCTCTCTCGCTGTGTCTCTCTCTGGAGAGTGGGAGAGGGAGAAGCAGGCCTCCCGCCAAGCAGGGAGCCCGATGTGGGGCTCGATCTCAGGACCCTGGGATCATGACCTGAGCCGAAGGCAGACGCTTAACGACTGAGCCACCCAGGCGCCCTAAATAAATAAAATCTTAAAAAAAATAATTAAAAAAAAAGGCTAGGGGTCTATGCGCACAGTTTTGCTTTTTAAAAAATGATGTAATATAATTTGTATATCATGCAAGTCACCTTTTTACAGTTTACAACTCCATGGTTTTTAGTATATCCACAAAGTTGTGCAACCATTACCACTTTCTAATTCTGGAACATTTTTGTCACCCCAAAAGAAACCCCATACACATAAGCATTCACCACCACTTCTGCCCCTGGCAGCCACTTATCTGTCTCTGTGGACTTTCTTATTGTGGCTGATTTAGGTTTTAAATAGATTGTTTGGATTGTAGGGCTATAGTAATAAAAATGAAATTAAGATAGCATACCTTACTATCATAATGACCCAGGCATAGTACAGATTTATGGTTTCTATTTTTAACAGTTTGCAAATAGTATAATGCAGTATGTTTGTATGAAATATATTAGGACACATAGTAAATAATTTTTTGTTAACTGATATTTTAAAATTCTTAGCATGGTATTTTGGAAGTATACTGCTAAATTGATTGGTTCTAATATAATAGGGCAGTGGTTAAAAACAAGCCTGTTAATAATGATTACCCAAATGATGTTCTTTCATGCTTGAACTCAAAGATCAAGCTGAAAAGGTAATCTAAAACAAAAATTTGTTTTTCTGCTCTTAAGCCAAATGCCTGGTGATTCAGTTTCAGCAGCTTAGCATCATTTGGGTCATCAGTATCAATTAAAATTGTATTGGTTTTGTACTTTTAGATTTGATTTGTAAATTTGTTTTGGTTTTATAGTTATATAAGGGATATAAGCATATGAACTTTATATCTCACTTAAATATCTTTACGTTCCATTTTAGTAAGAATACTTTAAGTCAACTCTGCCAGGAAATAAGATTTTTTTTTCCTTTAAAACAAGGGTACAGGGCGCCTGGGTGGCTCAGTTGGTTAAGCGACTGCCTTCAGCTCAGGTCATGATCCTGGGGTCCCGGGATCGAGTCCCGCGTCGGGCTCCCTGCTCAGCGGGGAGTCTGCTTCTCCCTCTGACTCTCTTCCCTCTCGTGCTCTCTCTCTATCTCATTCTCTCTCTCAAATAAATAAATAAAATCTATAAAAAAAATTAAAAAAAATAAAACAAAAAAAAATAAAACAAGGGTACATTACTAAGTTTGACAAATACTTTTTCATACATCTACAAACCCTGCTTTTTCAAGCTTAAGGTGAAGGCTATTCTTTCTGTTAACCATGGTGTAGAATGTATTCCTTCATATCATAAATGCTTCGTGTGAAGATTCCAGATGTGATGTCAACTAATGTTAGGAGAAATACAACATTTCTGACTATATAGTGAACATTAGAAAATTGTTAGATCAGATGAAAACTGAAATGGTCATTCATTACTTAATGGAAAGCTCTAAGGAAGGATGCATAGAATGACTTCAAGAGAATTCCTTCCACTGATAATATAGTGGAAGTGCATTGTGAATGTTGCCTGGTAAGTGGGTGATGAAGGTTTTGAGCATGTGGTTGAGGTAATGAGGGAGAGCTCACTGAAGGTCAGAGGGGCTAGAGAAGTCAGTAAAAGAGTGCCAGTGAAAACCATGTTGACGCATTGGAACGGGCTAGCTGAGATGGTGGTTCTTTACAGGAAGTGCTGATTGGCACCTTTCCCAGTTTGGACCAGAGCTTTAAAATTTCCCATGTGATAAATGTTTGCAGAGACTATCTAGAAAGGTATCAAGATTTGCAAAGGAAAAATAAAAACTGGCAATCTACAGTGTTCTTAGTGGTACCCATACCTAGCGAGCCCTCTCCGCTGCTGTTCTTCAGCATTCTGCTCCATTGCCGTTTCCCCCTCATCTGTCACCTGTTTCTTCTACCAGGAGTGAGTCCAACAACCTGTCATATGTCAGGTTCTGAACTCCTGCAGCCTGACTGTCCTGCTTTTGAGATGTCCTCTCCATTCTCATAGTATGTGTGCTGTGTAGCAGCAGTCACCACTGCTTATGATCATGGTTTTGATTTTATGGTTAAGGTGACCATGGAGCGCTTATTTTATTGGTAGTTTATTTGAATAAGCTAACCTTAGTCCTGTATATACAAAGTTAATAGAGGTCTTAAGATGTCATTAAAATTTTGCAGGGACACTTCATTTTATAGGAAAAGTATATGCCGAGTGGACATTATTCTTTGGGAATTTATAAAAATCTCCACATGAATCAGTCCCTCATGAATGTCAAGGGGTTGTTGTAGAATATATTTCTGTCTTACGTGCTCTTCTGGGATCTTTTAGTGTAGAGTCATTGTCTTGTACTTTTGTGGTTTAAACGCTTGGTATTCTTCCATAAAACATATTCTCAGTCTACAGGTAAAATAATTGAAACTACTTTTTTTTTGGATGTGGTAATATTCAAATACTTTGCTTTTTAAAAATATAGATTGCTGTGAATTATGTAAGACTGATGAATCACAGACCTGTACCCCTGAAACAAATAATACATTATATGTTAAAAAAAAAAAAAAAGTAGGAAGGGAAAAATGAAGGGGGGGAAATCGGAAGGGGAGACGAACCATGAAAGACTATGGACTCTGGGAAACAAACTGTAGGTTCTAGAGGGGAGGGGGGTGGGGGGATGGGTTAGCCTGGTGTGGGTATTAAGGAGGGCACATATTGAATGGAGCACTGGGTGTTGTACGCAATGAATCATGGAACACTACATCAAAAACTAATGATGTGATGTATGGTGATTAACATAACATATTAAAATAAAAACAATACGGATTGTTTATGGATTGCCTGGACAGTTAGCCTATGTGAAATAAAATGGAACAGTATGTAGTGGGGGGATGTCCTTACATTGGATAACTCTGTGATGATCCTGTGTGGCCTTTGCATGTGAGTGTTCCTAAAAGTCAGCTGTTCTTTCTTCAGATACACTGAAGAGATGGTACCCTGGCACCCTTGCCTGAAACTTATTAGCAACTGTGAGCAGAAGCTTTCCAGTCACACATCAAGGCGCTTGATAACAATGGAAAAGGTGAAGAAATTTGAGGTAAATTATCCTAGTATTTTTTGGATAAATTCTGGAAGAATCCAAAGATTTTTTTTAGTTTTCTTGTAATGGAGTTTGGAATTATTAGTCCTTGATTTTTAAAAAGTTATCAAATTCAGGAAGAGGCAGAAGTTCAAGAGGTTTGTGGGATTTGGTGGAATTTAGAGGGTAGGAGTTGGATAGAGAAGTTGAATAGCAGAATAGAAATAGAAGTTGACCTTAACTTCTCATCTTTGCCACTAATGCAGTTAAAAAAAAAAGCACACTTAGTTAAACAACTGTTGTTTAATTAGCAATCTACTAGTTACCATTTTTTCTCCAAAAGCAAGACCTACTCGATTACAGACTATTCTGAAGAGAAAATGTCACTTTATATAATGGAAAAAGTAATTTGCTGTTATCTGTTAGGGCCCAACACCTGTTCTCTCTCTCTCTCTCTCTCTCTCTCTCTAATACACACACACACACACACACACACACACACACACACACACACACACACAATTCTTGAGAAGAGCAAAACATCTGTTATTTCATATCCAGATCAGAATTGATATGAATAATGCCTCATAATGGAACTTAATTAAATCTACAGAATGCTCCTTGGGCCGTACTTATCTGGATTGACAACCATAGCTTTCCCAAATTCACTAAACTTTAGTAAGCCCCATCTATGTTTTTGATCTGTAGGGTAAGCAGGAAAGAACAGAGTGTTACTGCCTGAAGATTTTGTCATACTCATCTCTGCATTTGATTTTTTTCATCTAATTCATAGCTTAAGGATTCTTTCACAGTAATGAAAACTAATATTTATACAGTGCTTTTTGAATATATTATTATATATTTCTTATTTTTGTCCTTTTAGTTTTCATTTGCTATCTGTCTCTAACTTAGATCTTATTACCATACACCTGGTTTGTGCTGATCATCTCCTAAATTATCTCTTTTCCGTTTTTCACACCTCTAGTTCCTAATTGTTAAATGACTCTTCCTAACTTCTTTATGCCAAAACTTTAGTGACTCCTTTTCATTACTGAATAAGATTCAATGTGACATAAACTCTCTTCAGTAATCAGGCTCCAATATCAGGACATTTCAGAAAGCTTAAGCTGTTTATGTATATAAATAGTTGATTTGTGTTCACTCAAGGGTGGTTGTGTAGGTGTGTATGTATTTGTGTATTTATATACAGGTATATGTGATATAATTAACATAAGTGGTTGTCATTTTTAAAACAAGTTTATATTCAAACGATATCCTTGGGGTGGCATCTTGTACTCATATTTATATCATAATTATTCTGTATATTCTTGAAACTTTTAGATTTATATTTGAAAAAATATATTAATATTAAACAGTTATTTTGCTGTATAGTAACACCTTGCTTTTCTTCAAATTGTGTTACTGGACTTTGGTGCTCACATTTTATAGCAGACTGGTCATTTAATTGTTGTTTTTTGAAAATCAGAACCTGTTCCAAGGATGATGATCTACCATTAAATATTTAAAACATTAAGAAGATTCAGAAATTCTAAAAGAGGGGTTTCCAAGTTGTTTGACACAATGACAACCTTCTGAAGTGACAATTTTGGATGGACAACATTTATTTGGATATACAGAAGTCCTCTTAAGTAACCTCCATTTCAAACTCAGTTGATTAACTAGTACTGGCCATTTTTGTTCTAAAACACCAATACTTATGCCTGTAACATGTCAGATACTTCCAGCTGTTGACTTGCTTGATCTCTACTATGTGTGTACACTTCTGTACCTACCAGCTGAATTGTCTGTTTGCCATGAATCAGTTGTGTTTGTTTTGTGAACTGTTTAAGTCAGTTATATTTGGTATGGTAATTATGTAGTCTAACTAAATGCTAGTTAGACCAGTGAAATGTGAGTGTAAGAATAAAGTTGTCATTTCTAGAAAAGCTAAATGCAATACTTGAGAAAGATAGGATAAAGTGAGTTGTGAAGAAAGACTCTTGGACTGGGAATGGGTGAGATGACTAAAAAGGGTTGGAAAAGTTAGCCCATTCTAGGTTTCTCTACCCAGATTGCTTTTAACAGTCTTTAAGTTCTTGCATCATTTTACAGAAGCCAAAACTGAAAATCTTTGTATGTCCTGATTCTATATCAAAAGATTGATAAATGAATATTTGGTTTTTTAAGTTAAAATTTCAGTATATTTACAAAACTTTTTCATTTTTTCCTGCTTTTACTGACTTTTTCAATTAACTGACTGTAGTATTAGTCTGTTTAGGCTACCATAGCAGAATACCACAGACTGAGTGACTTAAATAACAGAAGTTTATTCTCTTATCGTTGAGGAGGCTGGAAGCCCAAGGTCAAGGTGCCAACAGGTTTGGTTTCTGATGAGACCTCTCTTGCTGGATTGCAGATAGCCACCTTCTTGCTATGTCCTCTGTATGCACATACTCTTGGTTTCTCTCTCTGCTTACAGGGACATCAGTCCTATTAGATTAGAGCCCCACCCTTATGATTTCATTTAACTTTAATCATCTCCTTTAAGGCTCAGTCTCCAAGTACAGTCATATTGTGGGTTAGGGCTTCAGTATATGAATTTTCGGGGGACACAATTCAGTCCATATCACTAACAATTACCAACATGTATCACAATGAATAAGAGGCCTCTGTTGCATGTTAAAGTATGCTTTCTTCATGCTCTTCCAGTCAGTTACTTTTCATGTATGTGTTTGTCTTTTAGTATTTTGAGGGAAGTAAGGCATATAATAATTTAAATTAGTAACACTGCAGCTCTTAGAAATCACAGCACTTAATGTAATTATTTGAGTTAGTAATAACATTTATGTGCCAGGCACATGAGTAATACATGTAAAAAATAGAAATAGTACCTGTAGATTTTATAGTTGTAAGTCTTGATATTAGAAAGTAAAATGAATGACATCAGTATTCTTTATTCTGTGGCCTCCATAAGTAGTACTTGCACCATATGATAGTTATGATGGCCTGAAACACTGTTCAGAAGAAAATATAGAGAAAGTACTCTAATAATGGGGACCACATAATAAACCAGTCATTTCTATCTTAGTGGCAAAATTGAGACCTGTTGTCATTTTGCATTTGCTTTCCTTTAAGTTTAATTTATTTAAGAAAATCTTTTTTTTCCAGTACTCTTTCCAGATTTATAATATTTCTGTAGGCAGTCTGTTTGATACTTGGAAGACGTAGAGAATGATCTACGCATGTAAATGCTGACTAAGGGCACTCACCTTAGATGTTTTTAAACCTAGAAAGGCAGTGTTAATTTTTGTTTGTTTTTATTATTTTACTTTTGTCCTTTCAAATTGATTTAAAAAACAAGGAAAAAGCCTAGTGCTCAAATAATTTTTTGAAACAGTCTTTACTTTATAAGATCAAATTTAATCAGTGAGTTTTAACTAGTATGCAGTGTACTATAACTGAAAGTACTTTGTCATGTTAATCATGTTTGGTTTTGAATTAATCACTTCATTTCTACCTTCTGTTTGTATGGAGAGGACTGTATATAATTGCAGCAAGATCCTAGTCCTTTATAATTCAAGTGATGACATAAAATTGTCAAACATTTCTCATACGCGTCTAACAAATTATCCTCAGCCTTGTTCAGCGTTGTTGACTTTGGCAGTGGAAGACTATTAATTGTAGATTTTTACACTCTTGTGTACTGTCTTTCTGCATTTTGGGTTTGTCACTTGTTAGGTTTAACTTCAGTATAACTTTTGGCCCACTTGATACATTGTTATAAAGTGTTCTCCCTCTCCCCTTTTAGAATGTAAACTTAAGTTATAAATGAGAAAACTGTCTCAAGAATGTAGGTGTATTGTAAAATTTTGTCTTTTCATTATTGCTATAGTTTTTAGACTTGCTTGTCGAGCATTAGTAGTAAAGAAGAAAATTTTTGCTACCCATATTAATGAAAAGACCTGATAAGAGAAGCCATTAGTCCCTGTTAATACAGTCTGAAAGAGAAGGGAATGATTTATGCTACTTATTGTTTACAGAGCTTTCATACCCATCTGATCATGTTATTTTGCTAATTTTAGAGACTAGGAAGTAGCTGAGTTGAGACCAAAACTCTTCTTTGTACTTGAAATTCTTTGATCTTTTTTATGCATCATATTGCCTCTTTACCAAGACAGTTTCTGCTTTTGGAACATGCCAGGGTTAAAAGGCAAATATTCTTTTTTTAAAAATTTTTTTATTGTTATGTTAATCACCATACATTACATCATTAGTTTTTGATGTAGTGTTCCATGACTCATTGTTTGTGCATAACACCCAGTGCTCCATGCAGAGCGTGCCCGCTTTAATACCCGTCACCAGGCTAACCCATCCTCCCACCCCCTAAAAGGCAAATATTCTTGAGTGGCATATTTCTAGTTTCTTTTTAAAGATCGTTTTTCCTCATTGTTCATGGGGCCATGGTAGAATGTGATTTATTTTACTAGAATTCATTTTTCCTGTTGATACAACATGTGGTTGATGGTGCTATATATATATTTGTGGTCACAGTGGTTACTTCTGTAAAACATTTTTCTTATATAAAGTTCATTGGAAAAAAATGCCAATTTCCAGAGTTGTCCAGAACAGACCAAAATATGAGTGTAATAGTTACATCTTCAATGAAAATTGCCTAAAACAGTACCTTGTCAACCTTTTCCAATGGTATACTTGGACAGATGAAAGAGTATCCAAAGTACTCATTTTTGAAACTTCCTTAAAATCTTTTTAAACATTCATGCAGCTTTTAAAGTCTATTCTATAGTATGTTTAAGTGTAAAAAAAAAAAAAGTATCTTAAGTTGCTGTTGCACTAAATGAGCCATCATGTGCCCTGTTTGTTTTGTGACTTGTTTACCTGACATGCTGTGATTTGAGAAGTACTGAAGTATAGGTAAGTTGAATTCTAGGTATTATATGGGCACTAATTTAGACTAAAGTTATATTATGTGAGCTAGTCAGTATAGTTCAGATGATTTAAAATAGGGAATATTGGGAGGTCATAGTGGCAGGTGATGAGAATTAATGTTAATTTTTAAAATTTTGGATTGAATAAAGAGTCCACTAACACGAAGCTGATGAACAATGCTTCATTAATCTGAATGGCAGGTGTCCAAAACTGAGGGATTTGACTCATGGACCAGGAGATTTTGAAGCTATGGAGAGAGAAACAACCATTAACATTGTAACATGTTCTAAATGATGAAGGGAGAGAAGAGACACCAAGGTCTTGTGTTTGAGAAAATGACTTAAGGATGACTTGAAGTAGAAGAAATTAGTCTTTGTGATAAGTAGATTACATGTTAGAATGATAGTAGTGTTGCTAGTCATGAACTGGTGATTTGCTGACATAATGCTTGTGCCTATTTCATTATGCTTTATCCGTTCTCAGGATTAATGCCAGGACAGTGGATATTTTCTTTTCGATTAGAGCTATGAAAGATTAGAGATTAGGTGTGAAGATTTCAGTCATACAACGTGCCCAGTGGGAAGGAGACGCTGCTTCAGTTATCAGTGAGAAAAATAAGACCAGGTGATACAAAGTAAGAACATGGTAATTAGATATGAACTTGAATGGAGGTCCTAATACAGTAAAGTATTCATCACCAGCCAAATGTCTATGTATGAGAGAGAGAAAGACTAAGAAGGACTCTTTTAAAAAATTATTTCGTATAGTGAGTCAGAAGGAAACTATTTATATTATCTATAAATTATGTTTTGACTTGAGATCTTTGAAAAAGGCTTTTAAGAGTAGATAGAGGGGCGCCTGGGTGGCTCAGTCGTTAAGCATCTGCCTACGGCTCAGGTCATGATCCTAGGGTCCTGGGATCGAGCCCCGCATCGGGCTCCCTGCTCGGCGGGAAGCCTGCTTCTCCCTCTCCCACTCCCCCTGCTTGTGTTCCCTCTCTCTCTCTGTCAAATAAATAAATAAAATCTTAAAAAAAAAAAAAAGAGTAGGTAGAAGCCTGGTGATGCTGCATATCTTGTTGAAGTTTAAAGGATTATGTCATCTACTTATCTCATGTTATCTTGTTCTGAATGGCTTGCTTTAGCTGTAATTGGTGCTTTTCCTTGAATTTAAATCTTAAAGAGTCATCATTTGACTTTTATACATCTGCAACTAAATGATTTTGCCAAACTGGATATTTTGTTAATACTATCATGATTTCAAATTGTTGTTTCTGGTAAACCAAGAAAAAGCAAGTTTATCCCCTAGCTACTCCAGGAAGGTAATCATTTAAGATACCTGGATTCTAGTATATATCTCTTTTATTTGCAGGAAAAATGCAGTTCTCTGAAGGTAGAGAGCATCTGTCATTATGCTCCAGCTGTAATGATCATATTTTCAAGCTATGATAGTAAAGCAGTCTTTAACATTCTCATGTTATATTATAGAATCTTAGAATCTTTATATTTCAAAATATAAAGTTTGATCTGGGAGTCCCAAGGTATGAATGGGTAGGGAAATGGGAAGTTTACGTGTGGAATCTGCATGATCCTCTGGAACTTCTTTTAAAGTTCTTGAATGGCCGATTTTCTACTTGCTATTTTTTTTTTCTTTACTTATGATACAGTTAACTTAGAATTATCTTTCTAGTATTTTTCAAATTCAGCCATGAATATATATGTCTTCTTCCCCCCTCCATGACCCACCAGGAATACAACCATGAGATTTTTAAACATATATTTTTTTGCCTAAAACATATATACAGTTTAATGAATAATTGTAAAGTGAACATCTCTATAACTACCACCGAGGTTAGGATTATAGCACCGCAGAAGCACCCCTTTTGGTGGCTATTTCTGATCTCTTCCTGCAGGTGTAACCACTAATCTGACTGTTACAGGAATCACTCTTGCATTCCTTTGTAGTAGTATTGCTATTGAATTGATCTGTAAGTAAATTAATTTTGCTTGTTTTTGATCTTTATATAAATACATGTGTATTTTTCTTTTTCTTTTAATGGACTGTGACAGTTTAAAAAAGTCAACTAGGAGAGTAGTCTCCAAATTAAAGCAAAATAAAATTAAAGTCTACATCATAGACTGTGCATGCCAGTGCATATCTTGGTCTATTATTCATCCTTTGCTACTTACTTAATTAAATATTTGGATATAATAACTAATAAGTTGTCATTTCATTTTTATCTGGTTTGTCAGCTCTGTATTCTTTTAATATTTGAGGTTAAATTTTGAATTTTATAAAATTAGTGTATTTTTAGTGGAAAGCATGTAGAAAGTACTTATAGTTTTGTATCATCATGATAGCATGAATATCCATGATGGTCTTTTTACAGTTAGAAAGAAAGTACGTGCTGAGTGCCTGATGTCAAAGTTGCATCACTAAATGTTACTCATTTTCAGAACTCAATGAAGATTTTAATATTAAAATATTTTAATAGACTTTAGGTAACTTAATATCTTGCCAAGAAATGAAATTTTTAAAATAGTACAGATTATATATGAGTACCTAATTTAGGGATAAATATTTCTGATCCTACCTTGTTCCCATTAAGAATAATGCTAGAGATTTCTCTTAATAGTATTGGATGCCAGACTTTTGACCTGCTTGTCCTTGGTTGGAAATGGCCTAGTGCTGTTTATAGTGTATAACTTTAGCACAAGTGGTTTCTATAGCTACTGTCCAGTACCAGATGTAGAACAGTGGGAAGCTTTGATAAGGGGAGCAGGATTTTTAAACAAAAGCCGGACATGGGTAATTACCCTGACGCTGAACTGAGGCCCCTTACATTCAGCACTGTCATTTACCTTCCATTTCACTCTCTACTGATTACAAGAAAGAGAGTGTACCCACTGTTTTTCTCTTCCATCTCTTGGCCTTCTTCCTCTCACCTTATGTAAGAGTATATATCATAGCTTTAATCCATTTCAAGAATACAGGAGTGAGTCTTTCTTAAAAAAGTTAGATGAGCATTGTTAGTTTAGTGGCTTTCATTATGACAGCATCATTGGTTTTCACTTATCATAGAATAAGTTTCATAAGCCATTTGTACTCAGTTGTTTGCAATGGAACTGCTGTTTTGTATAAACTACTGTCACTCTGAGATATAAATGACTTACGGTTAATACTAGTGAGGTAGAAGAAATCATTATCTCATTATCAGGAACTGTCAGTAAGTAAAAAAGGACAACTTAAACCTGACGCATAATTATAATAGAAGTCATTTGGATTTCTTATGAATGGCTGTAGACTTCTACAGCTTCATCCCCAAACTGACACTTTTCTAGGGGTTATCCCTTGTTTTTAAATGGTAATTTTATACATTGATGATTATTCTCAGGTATTTTCATCAAAGTTTGAGGGATTCCAA